AGGACCTTGCGCTTTGGAGGCAGGTGCCGTGCCACTGAGCTAAATCCCCAGCCCTTCCCCTTGCTTTCTGAAGGTCACTTGAAGCTCACCCTCCCCTTTAGTGCTGGGAATGGGACACAGAGCCTGGAGAACATGTTAGGCAAGTGCTCCTCCAGGAGCCACATCTCCAGCCCTAAGTGCTTTTTAATTTTCAAAGTTCCTTCCCAATCATCCTCTTTATCCACCCAAGACTCCCTGGTGGTCCCCCACTGGGCCTGGATTACTCAGCTCTCATCCACTTGAAGGACGACAGAAGCCACCGCCCAGAAAGGTGGCCACTTTGTCACCCTGTTTGTGCGCATGCAGCCAGCACAGCACTTGCTACTGCCCACTCCATTCCCCACTGCCTGGGCCCTTTATACCCTGGGTGGACCATAGGTCTCTGCGAGTAAGAGAACATCTTTGCCCAGGGCCTGGCATCTCTCGCAGCCCTAATGGCCTCTGCCTTGGGACAAACTAGGGCATGGGAGGGTAGGACTGAGAGGAGACCAGGGGACGGCTGAAGGGGGCAGCTAGGGACAAGATCTGGGCCCACCTGGCCATTGGCATTGTGACAAGGCCTAGCTACAATCAGGCAGTGACAGGGGCAAAGAAGGGAACTGGGTTTCTTGTAAATACGCAGAGAGAAACCCCAACCAACAGAGCTTGCAAAACCTTTCTTTTCCTCTTCCCTCTTCCTGATTTCATCTCAAATGGAGGGGGGCAGGGGAAAGAAAGGGATGGAGAAGGAGCTGACAAAATAGCTGTGGGCGGGCCCCTGCACTGGGCACTTGCTCAACACAGAGGATTAGCTGGCTGATTGGAGTCCAGCCCTAAGTGGGCCAAGACTGTGGGTGTGAGTCCTATGGATGGCTTCATTCTGCTCTGTCCAGGAAGATGGCCTGGAGCCCTGACGCTGGCCCGCTGGCTGTTAAATACATGCCACTGCTCATGTGGTGCAGCAGGCACATTCGCTGCTGGATATCTATTAGCCGGGGGTGGGGCTGTTTTTAAGTAGAGGGTACAGCTGTTCCGAGGGTAGTTTCCATTTTGTTTGTGGCTGTGGGGGAGGGGTGTTGAGGGAGTGGGAAATGGCATGAAGGAAATGGTCACTTCCTTTCCAGAGAATTCCAGAAAGGTTTCATGGAGAGCAAGGTATTTCAGAATTGACTCTGAGGGATGAGGAACTGGAGGGGAGTTTTGCTGTGTGGCCCAGATGGCAATCTGGCTCCCATGTTTCCTGGCATGTGTGAAAATGCCATGGGTGTTACCAGCAATTCTGTAAGAGCCAGTGGCTCAGCTGAGCCGGTGTAGATTTAAATGCACTCCATGGAAACTGTGGACGTGGCTTTCACATTGGGGCTGTTTCCTCTAGAGGAGGTCCAGATGGGTGGGTGCTGGACACTGCTTGATGTGTTCCAGCAGCAGCCCTCAGAAGGGTCTCTACCTCCGAAGGGAGCCCAGTTGTGGCGACACAGAAGCAGCCCAAACCACTTCTATTTTGCTTTGGTTTTGCAATGCAGTCAGAACCATAGAGAGCCAGAGGTGTGTATTTGCAGGCTGGGGACACAGATGCCTTGGCCTGCTGTTTCCTACTGAGGCACACACTCACGCATGGCAGCTTCCAGGGGCCATTTATTCTCACAAAGCTGTCACTCTTGGCCCGGTGAGGACAGACACTGGGAGTGGACTTTGGAGCTGGCTGTGAGCTGTGCAATGATGGGCAGGGCAAGGGAGGAATTTGCCGCCAGTTACTAAGGGTTCCCAAAGAACTCCATTCCCTGAATCAAGTGTCTGTGTGTTACCCCTGAACCCCGCTCGCCAGTGAGGCAGTGTCCAGGGTTTTAGGCCACCCAAGCTGTGTCTCAGCCAGAGGGCTCTGGAAGGACTCTAGAGAGGGGAGCCCTGGTGTGGGCCCCTCTGGCCTTTGGGAGGGTGGGCCTCTGTGATGGTGGCTTCTTCGGTTTCAGGTTCCTGGGAGAGGGAGGTTATTTTAAGAGACTGGGGGAGAGTGAGTGAACATGCAAATGAGCCTCTCTCCACCTCTCACTTTCAAATCCTCAAACATCTAAAGTAGGAGGGCGAAGCTTTCTGGACTGGAAGGTTCCATTGGGGGGCGGTTCTCGGCCTTGGCCAAGAGAGCCCTTTATACCCCTTCACCTTAGCTTCAGGCCCGGGGCAGGATGAGATCCCTAGGATCAGCCTCCGAAGACCTTACAACCTTGCGCCAGAGAACCTACACCAGTGGGTACTCTGAGGAGTGCTTAAACAGGCAGCCATGATAAATTAGGCCACAGCAGTCATCTCTCTCCCATCACACCTCTCCCCTTTGCATTGCCAGTCAAAGGTTCCATCCAACCTTGGGGGCTCACCCCAAAGACCCACAGGCCCCATACCTATGCTGAGTCTGGCCTTTTCTTGCTGGGACACATACAGTGACAGAGAGGGCCCAGCAGAACCCTGGTCAACGCAGCCCGCCTCCACTTAACCACAGCTTCTCTGAGCTAGAACCAGCATTAGTGGGGGCTTGTCATTCTCACAGGCAGCTCAGGCCGCCACTGCCACCACCACAGCCTGGGAGGAGGAACTGATGACGGAGCCTGTGGCTTTGCAGGCCAGACCAGGCAGCCCTTTGACACACAGAGGCTCTCATGCACATATCTTTACACTTGGGCCACACACACATACCCTGCACATCCACAGCGAGCACAGATCACGCACCTGGGTAACAGAGTATACAGAGTATATGACACCCACCTGTACTCAGTGTACACACGGTCACAGACTTCCCAGAAAATGCTGCACTCACAGATGCTGACTGATCAGTACCATTTATTTGTTTGTTCTTTCTTTTGTTCCCTTTTTCTTGCATTTATTCCACAAACACGAACTGAGTGTCGGCTACTTAGCAGGCAAGGTGCAAAGTGCTAAGGTTTTATCAATGACAAACACAGTGGTCCCTGCCCTCAGGGAAGCCACTGTCCAATGGGGCAGGTAAGGAAGGTCCGTAGAAGTTTCCCAAGCAGAGGGCACCAACAATGACCTTGCTAAAAATGGAAACACTGGCCTGGGAAGAGAAGCCAAAGAGACAGCAAACCTGGAAGGAAGGGCCATAGTGGAGCGACCATGGGGCAGGGATGGATGCAGGAGTTTCGTGTTTAGACAAAGTGGGATTAGGTGAAAGTGATCACCTTTCATTTGATGAGTGGGATCTTGGGGGCAGACAGAAGGGTGTGTGGGAGGGAGGGAGCTGAGGAATTTGGGCCTGGGAGCCCCCAGGCACTTAGGCTAGGGGAGACAGACCTTCCAAGCAGAAATGGCCCTGACTTAGGAGCCAGGGCCAAGGAGATAGGGTCACTGGAAGGGACGAGTAGGAGGAGCAAACCAGGACAAGTTGGTCTGAGGGTGTCCGCCCTGGTCCTACTGTGGATCTGGCTCACTCTCCTTCATCAGAAGGGTGACTCAGACCTGACAGGTAGAAAGGACCCGAGCTGAGTGACTTCTCCAGGCGTTTTGTCGGGGTGGCTTAGAAAGGTGGGGGGGGGGTGAGGCGGAGAGAGCATAGGGCCAGCTCTGTGGGCTAACGGAAAGGAAGTGGGAGAGGCTTGGGTGTCTCCTGTGGGGGAGAGCGGTCATCATGGAGGTCACCCATGGTCCCCCTCCCTTCCCTCCCCTTTGCCCCTCTCTGAAGTTCCTCATTTCTTTCTGGGCCAGGGCAGGGTTTACCAGCCTGGCACTGCCCAGGGCGTGTCTTAGAGGTGGGGTAAAGTGATTCGCTCTGACTATCGTAGGTGGACCCAATTCTTGATGGTTGAATCAGGCTGTTGGCATAGACATCCACATACTAAAACACATCTCCTACCCCAAGTGGGCCTGAGGGATCACAGATGTGGTACCTAGAAGTGCAGAAGCCCAGTGTTCAGGGGCCCAGGAGTGGGGAGGCTGGAGCTGGGTGACCAAGGGCTTTGGGAGGTGGCCAAGGGTGTGACCGCGCTTGTCAGAGCCCAGCCACAAGGGCGCTGACAGTGGAGTGGAGGCAGGGAAGCAGCTGGAGGCCTGGATGCCATGTGAGCATAGGAGGCATCGGGAGAAGAGAGTCGTGTGTGGGCTGCAGTAGACAGAGATTTCCTGGAAAAGGGGCCCTGGCTGCCCCAGAGGATGGGGAAGATTCCTCGGCCCTTCCCCCAGCCAAGGCCCTCCTCACAAGTTCCCAGGGTGACAGTGCAGTCTTGAAACTGAAAGCAAAGCTGAACCAAGAGCACAAACCCACACACTGAGGAACAGAGACCACCCTCTCTGGCAGGTGGTAGAGGAAGGGAGTGCAAGGCATGCTTGTGGCCCACCTGTCTCATGCCCCCTCCCCCTCTGGCCCTGACACCATGGTACAACCCTCCACAAAGAGATACTTCTTCCTCAGCAGATTCAGCCCTTCAGAGCAAAGTGGCCGCCACTCCCAAGGCACACTGAGCCTCAGAGCACCGTGGACGGCCTGTCTTCCTTTCACTCCCCCACGCTCAAATTCTTCCCTAAGCCAAAGGAGTTATGGGGATTCTTCACACCATCAGCCCAGGCTGAGGTCACCCGGGGTGCCCTGCCATTTCCTGTGGCCACGCACTGGGAAAAAGAGCCCCAAGTCAGCTGGTACGGTCCCACCCTCCCTGTAATCTCAGTACTCTGGGAGACTGAGGTAGGACAAAGGCAAGTTAGAGCCCAGCCTAAGCAACTTAGTGAGCAACTGTTTCAAAATAAAATAAAAATAAAATAAGCAGGGGATGTAGCTCAGTGTGAAGGCCCTGGGTTCAATCCCCAGTAACACCATAAATAAATAAATAAATACATAAATAAATAAACGAACAAATCCTAAGCCCCTCTGTCGCCTTCTCCAGGAGAAGGGGGAGGGGAGGGAGGCATGCTGCTTGTCTTTGGGGCTGGCCAGAGGTACAGATGCTTACTCATAGTCCCCATCTCTCCCTTCTCCCTAGGTTGCTCCTGGTTGGCCCAGCCCAGTATGCAGCCTTGAGGCTGCTGGAGGCCACCACCCACACCAGCTCTCTACGTGGCTGGAGGAGGCAGTAAGCATCTCTTCACCAAGAAAGCACTGCAGCTCCAGAGAGCTTGGGAATCCTGCTGTCAGCTCTTGGAGCAGACAGTATGGCTATTACCCTGCAGCCCAGTGACCTGATCTTTGAGTTTGCAAGCAACGGAATGGATGACATCCACCAGGTATGGTCCCAGAGAATAAAGTCCAGTGGGCTGGCTGGCTGGCTATTCAGTCAGCAAATGTTGATCAAGCACCTACTATGTTAAGAGCACTGGACCTATGTGTCAGGCAGCCTGTGCAGCAGCTCTTCACTCATGTAGCCAGTCGGTAGTCATCAGATGGTCATTCAGGGAGCTGGCTGCTCACCAAACCAAGTGGCTGCTCAATAATCAGCTGAGCTGTTGGTCACTCAGCAAGCAGGACTGAAGTTGCAAGGTGTGTTCTGATCATCACAAGGGTTTTTGACCATTTTCTTCACCCCCAGTGTCACACTGAAAAAGGTGTTGGGATGACCACATAGCAAGAGGCCCCCTGCCAGGCATGGTGGCACACACGGGTAATCACATTACTCAGAAGGCTGAGGCAGGAGGGTTGCCACAAGTTTGAGTCCAGCTTGGACTAATAGTGAGTTCAAGGACAGCTAGGGTTACATAGCAAGACCCTGTCTCAAAAACAAAACAAAACAAAACAAAAAAATAACCAAACAAACAAAAAAACCAAAGGGAGGAAAAAGAAACAAACAAACAAAAAGCAAGAGGGCCCTTGCCAGCTGAAACTGCAGGGTGGAGTCCAAGCCCTGGCATCTTCAGACACCTGGCTCTAGTCCAGTTGATGGGTTCATTTCTAAGTGTCTTTTCAGCCTCCACCTGAGGATTCAGGATAAACCTGAGGATTCAGATAGAAGCCTGAGGATTCAGGTAGAAGCCTCCCCTCCCCATCTACAGAGAAGCTCAAAGCCATGGGGTCTTGTGGTGGAAGGAAGTTGGAAAATAGGATAGGATTCTGGCACTCAGGTGGGTACCCATTACTCCATACCTTGTGCTGCTAAGAGGTCAGATTTTCCATGCACTCGGATGTCCCCATTAGATGGTTATCCTGGCATACTCATCACTACCCTCCATTCCCCTCTTTCTACAAAATAGAGAAAGTAGAGGCAGCCAGGTATGGTAGAAGGAATGTAAGAATTGGAATCAGGAACCCTAGGTTTTGATCCTAGTTTGGCCACAATGTCACCTGGCCAAGCCCTGTCTCCTACTGAATCTGCCTGCCATCTCCCTGCCTTCTCCAAGAGATCTGCCTGGATGATCTCTGATGGCATCCCAGGATAACTGATGCGCCCTGTCCTAAATCCTTGCAAGGATGGAAGGCTGCCCCATCTCAGGCAGCCTACCAAAGCCTGCCCTCTAATGGGCGTCAAGCGCATTGTACTTTCTGTCCTGTGTTGTGACCCAAGGTTGCTCAATTTTGTTGAACCCTCTGGTGTGCCTAGCCTTGTGAAAGGCTTCACATGAAGGAGAAGGGAAGAAAAATCTAAGCTTACCTGGATTCTCAGTGCTACTTGCCATTTTCCACTGGTTTCTAGTCTGCTCAGCAACGTTTCCTGTCTTCATAGAGGCTGTTCTCACCTCCCAAATGACCCTCCACCCTCGCCAGAAGCCTCTCCTCCCAACCTACGGAGAAGCCCAAAGCCAAGGGTGCCCTCAGTTTCCCCCTTTTATCCCTTTTATCTATAATACCTCATATTCTTGTTTCCTTCTCATTGGCATAGGAGAAAAAAGTATTCCTCTTCCTTTCCAGGTAAGTCCTACCCTTGTACTTGACCTCCTGCCTTTTTTTAAGACTCCAAGCCATCAATCACCTCCCCTTTCTCTTGTATATCTCAGACTTCCTGCATCTTTCTCTTCATCTTAGAACATCTTCAGGTCTCCCCAACCCTAAAAGACAAGCTTCCTTCCTTTCTGCTCCACTGCATCAGAATACCACCTTCTTTTTTTTAATTATTAGTTTTTGTGGTACTGGGGATTGAACCCAGGGCCTTCACATTGAGCTATATCCCCACCCTTTTTTAGTTTTTATTTTGAGGCAGGGTCTCGCTAAGTTGCCCAGATGGGGCTTGAACTTGCCATGCTCCTGTCTCAGCCTCCCAGAGTGCTGGGATTATAGTCTAACCCTTTCATTTTTCTTAGGAAACAATTATTTTGGGGGGTACTGGGGATTGAACTCGGGACCTTGCACTTGCAAAACAGGTGGAACCACTGAGGTAAATCCCCAGCCCTCTTAGGAAACAATTTTTGTTGTGAAATTTATCATGAATACAAAAGAGTACATAAATTATTGATAGGTAGATAGACCATAAAGTGAACATACATGTACTTGTGACCCAGGTTAAGAAGTAAAACATTACTAGTCTCCTAGAAGCCCTTGATACCTAATACTTAATAAGAATTTATGCTAGGTCCTGTTCTGAGTGCATAATGTGTAGAGATCTGTTTAAATAACCCTGTAAGGTTAATAATGTGAGTGTCCTAATTTTATAAATGAGAAAACTGATACACAGAAATCTAGGTAACTTTCCTAAGGTCACACTGCTAGTAAGTAGCCCAGCTTGGTTTCTTTCTTTCTTTCTTCTTCTTCTTTTTTTTTTTTTTTGAGACAGGGTCCTACTACATAGCTCAGGCTGGCTTCAAACTCATGGCGATCCTTCTGTCTCAGCCTCCCAAGTGCTAGGAGTGCTGGGACCACAGGCATGTGCCACCACGCCCAGCCCCCAGCCTGGTTTCAAGCCCAAGCATCTGGCTCTAGATCAGCACAATCTGATAGAATTTTCTGGAATGGTAGCAATGCTGTTCTATATTTAGGTTATCTAGTATAAGCCTCACATGTTGCTACAGAGCACTTGAAATGTGGCTAGTGCGCCTGAAGAACTGAACTTTTATCTTCCATTTTTTCCCCTTGCTATGTCTGGCCTCAAACTCACAATCTTCCTGCCTCAGCCTCCCTAGTGCTAGGCTTATAGGTGTGCATCACTATGCCCCAGCTCTGAAGCTGTATCTTTCCAAAATTTCCATTCCATTTAAATTTAAAGACACCAGTGGCTAGTGGCTGTCACCATGGACAGCAAAGCTCTAGACAGTGCACCCTTAGTACACAGCTGATGCCTGCCTCAGTCCGTCCTCTCTCAGACCCCATGTCACCTGGCCTGGGACCCCAGCACTCCCCTGAAACCCTGAAACCATGCCAACCAGAGCAGCTGCCCAGTGGCCAAACCCAGAAGCCTTTAGTCAGTTTATACTCTTCTAAATTCCTCGGGAATGTGACAGGGACCAGTCTCAGTCTTTTTTCATGAACAAAGATTTAACATTCTCATGAAAGAAAACTTGGAAAACACAGGAAAATAAAAAGAAAAGGACTCCCCCCGCCAGATTTTTTGTTTTCTGTACTGGGGATCAAACTCAGGACCTTGTGCTCGCCAAGCAGGCACAGTGCCAGTGAGCTACATGAGATGTATAATGGATGTTGGGAAATGGGAAGAAAGTGTTCAAATGGGAAGGAGAACAAGGGAAGAAGGGACAAGAAAAAAGTGAAAATAGAAGGAAAAAATGAAAACAAAGCTTTTGTACATAGGGAGGGGAGGGGGCTTGAGGGGGGGAATGGGATAAAATAAAATAAAATGTATTTTTAAAAAAAGGGAAAAAAATCGTCCAGTCCAACAACCAAAACACAACTACAATTGACATCCTGGTTTGTTTCCTTTTTTGGGGGTACTGGGGATCAAACTCAGGACCTTGTGCTTGGGAGGCAGGCATCAGCACCACTGAGCTAAATCCTGGCCTGGTTTATTTCCTTTTTATCTAGAATTTTTTTTAAAATGTCAGCTGTGGGCCAGGGTTGTAGCTCAGCGGTGCTGCACCTGCCTGGCAAGCGCAAGGTCCTGAGTTTCATTCCCAGTTACCAGAAAGAATAATGTCAGCTGTGGTGGCGTACACCTGTAATCCCAGCTATTCAGGAGGCTGAGGCAGGCAGAAGGATCAAAAGTTCAAGAAGAGCCTGGGTAACTTAGCAAGACCCCATTCAAAAATAAAAAATAAAAAAGGGATATAGCTCAGTGAAAGAGTACCCCTGGGCTCAATGCTCGATACCACACACCCACACACACCAGGACTGGGTATAGCTCAGTGGTGGAGTGCTTGCCTAGCATGCATGAGGCCCAGGGTTTGTTCTCTAACACCATGAATGAATGGATGTCGGGGATGGATATGATCACAATAAATACATTGAAACTCAAGTAAAGTGAAACTAGGGGGCAGGGTGAGGTAAGGAGGTCATGGGGGCAAATGACCAAAGTATGTTATGCGTATGTATGAACCTGCCAGAATGAAATTCATTAACCTGTATATACACCATAATAAAAAAGATGTGAAACAGAAGGATTGGGTTGGGGTGTAGCTCAGTGCTAGAGCACTTGCCTAGCATTCGTGAGGCCCAAGATTGCCAATAATAATAATAAACAAATATGATTACCCTCCTTTTTTATTTAACTTTGCTTCATTTCATTTTTTTTTCTTTCTTCCTTTCTTTTTTTTTTTTTTTTTGTACCAGGGATCGAACTCGGGTCCTTGCACTTTCGAGGCAGGCAGTGGAACCACTGAGCTAAATCCCCGGACCAACTTTGCATCATTTCAGAACAATGATGCTCTCTAGGGGCTGAATTCTCAAATTATCTTCTCTACTCTGAGGAATTTAATGGCCACCTGCTACCTTTTGAGCTCTTGGACATTTGTGATGGGCAAATGTCTGGGTCCCCAACCATGGCCCTAGACTGAGTCCCTCACCCCTTACCCTTACCCTTGCCATCAACTAATCCTTTCCCACTCGCCTCACAAGGAGCCTAACCCTTCTCATCGACTGAGTCCCAATGCCAGGCCATGGATTACCCCAACCAATTAAAAATGCTTGCCCAGGTCTGGGGATTTAGCTCAGTGGTGCCTCTGCCTGCCTCGAAAGTGTAAGGTCCAGAGTTCAATCTCTGCTCCAAATAAATGAATAAATAAATAAATAAATAAATAAATAATAAATAAATAAATGCATGCATGCTTGCCCGGGCTGGGGGATAGCTGAGCAGTACAGCACAGCCTTAGTTTGCATGAGAGCCTGCTCCCCCACCCCCAGTACTAGAGATGGAACCCAGGGCCTCGAACATGCTAGGCAAATGCTCTAGCACTGGGCTACACTCCAATCCTTTTTAAAAATTTTATTTTGAGACAGGGTCTCACTAAGTTGTCCAGGCTTGCCTCAAACTTTCGATCCTCTATCTCAGCTTCCTGAGTAGCTGGGATTACTTGTGCCAGTATAACAGGCTAAGGCTCTGGGTTTGGTCCCCAGTGCCACTCACACACATGCTTGCCTTTGGTTGAGTGTAGTTTGGACAGAGCCAGGCCATCTCTTTTAATCAAGAGCCCACTCAAAGCATCACCTAGTGAGGCTGGAGTTTACAGCAACCTCATCTCAAGCCCTGAGGGCTCCAAGAAGTAAGAATTGCCCAAAGGGGCCAAAAGCTGATAGGGAGGGCGGCTTCCCGGAAGAGGTGGGTAGCCTTGAACCAGATCCCTATCTCCTCTGTAGCTGGAAGACCCTTCGGTGTTCCCAGCTGTGATCGTGGAGCAGGTACCCTACCCCGAATTACTGCATCTGTACTCAGGACTGGAGCTGGACGACGTTCCCAACGGCATCATAACAGACGGGACCTTGTGCATGAGGCAGGACCAGATCCTGGAGGGCAGTTTTTTGCTGGCAGGTCTGTTCCCTTTCTGGGCAGGGGAGGTGTGGTGGAGAGAGGGTTTCTGTCTTGGGCAATGGCAGCCCACGATGGCTGTGAGTAACCCTACTCAGGATGGGCAAGGACTCCAACAAAAGGTTTGTGTCGCTTCACAGAAGAGAGAGCCAGCTCAATTCACTCCAGCTCTCTAGATGTGGTGGGATGAGGAGGAATGGAGAGCCACTGGAGGGAGGATTAGGGCAGGAGGCATGCTGGTCGCTCCCAGGCTGTTCCTAGGGTCCCTGTGTCTCCTCTTCTTACCACTGTCGGCTTGAGTTGGCCCTGATTATAGCTGTACTGTGCCCTGAGGGAACTTTTCTTCTCCCTCCACCTCATAAAATGTGGAACCAGATGACAATGAGGCCACCTCACACACCATGGCAACCACTGAAGTCTTACTCAATGTGGAATCTCCCAACAACATCCTGGATGAGAAGCAGATATGTAAGTTTGAACCCCTGTGCTTTAACTCAAGACAGCTAAACGACTCCCTTTTAAAATGTCACATCCAGTTGGGTGTGGTAGTGCAGGCCTGTAATCCCCGCACTCTGGGAGGCTGATGCAGGATTTCCAATTTGAGCCCAACCTGGACAAGTTAGTGACTTAGCACGACCACGTCTCAAGATGAAAAATGACAAAAGGCTGGGGATGTAGTTCAGTGTGAAGGCCGTAGGCTCAGTCCCCAGTCTACCATACACACACACACACACACACACACACACACACACACACACACAAATCTTGGAGGCTGAGGCAGGAGGATCACAAGTTGGAGCCCAGCCTGGGCAATTGAGTGGCTTAGTAAGACCCTGTCTCTAAATACAAAGGTCCGGGGTTCAATCCCCAGGACTGCATTTTTCCCATTTTTTCCATTTTTTTCTTATTCCTTCCTTCCTTTCTCCCTCCCCCCATCCCTTCTTCCCCTTCCCATTTGAGCATTTTCTTCCCATTTCCCAATATCTATTATACATTTTCGTCCTTATTTCAACTTTGGGTTTCTCACATCAGAGAAACAATTCAGTATTTAAATATGTGTGTCTGATTTATTTCACTTAAGAGTATGGTCTCAAGGTGCATTCATTTAGCTATAAATGTCTCAAGCTCATCCTTCTTTACGGGAGAGTAGTACTCCATTGTATTAAAAAAAAAAAAGCCCCACATCTTCTTTATGCATTCGTTGGTTGATGGGCGTTTGGGCTGGTTCCAAGATTTAGCTATTACAAACTCTGCTGCCATAAACATGTCAATCCCCAGAACTGCAAAAAACCCCAACAAGTCACATCTGTATACTGGATTTTCAGGTGGGCTAGGTAACTGAACCTACCAATATACTTGTGAACAGACTCAGGCTGGGACTGGCAGGGAGGGGCAGGAAGGCACCAGGCACCAGAGATGAGGAAAAGATGGCCAAGGTGATTTTTGTGTTTTTTTCTCCAATTTTAAATTGTGGTAAAATACTAGACCGTAACACATACCACCTTAGTTATTTTAAAGTGTGTAGTTCAGCAGTGTGAAATACCTTTGCATTGCTGGGCAGCCATCTCCACCATCATCTCAGAACCCTTTCCATCCTGGAACCCTGGAACTGTCCCCATTAAACTGCCTCACCCCTCACCCCAGCCCCAGCAGCTGCCCTCCTACCTTGGTCTCTATGAGCTTGACTATTCTGGGTACCCATGTAAGAGGCATCATACCCTATTACGCTTTTTGTGGCTGATTTATTTCACTTAGTATAATGTTTTCAAAGCCCGTCCATGTGTAGCATGTGTCAGAATTTCCTTCCTTTTTAAGGCTGAGCAATAGAACAGTGGATAGGGAACTTTTCAGCCCCTCCCTGCCCCGCCTGTGACTTACTTAGAAATGCTCCAGGCTAGGAATGCCTTCACCCCTTCCCCGATTTTGGAGGGCAGCCCCCCAAAGGGCTCATGTGTCTGCTGATCTCCCTGGCTCCCCATTTTCCCAGAAGACCCCCAAGACCCCTCTCCTCCTGGTGCCCTCTCAGGCAGATGTCCTAACATACTAAAAGGGTTCCCCTTTTATGGCAAAATGCGCTTGCCCAAGGGGGTGCTGTGATATAGTGAGGGAAAGAAAAGCTCTAACGCTGAAAGATAAGAGATTTCTCACTTCATCTCTTACTAATATTCAGCCAGGACTCAACAAATATTTACTGAGTGCCTACAAGTACCAGGCCCTGACTTGCTGTGTGATTTGCCATCTCTGGGTCTCTCAGCCGCCTCATGTGGAAAGCCGAGGAATTGTGCTAAGTGCTTTCTACGGGCCTTTCGAAGGGAACGACTATGGCCCTTTACCCTGGACGCTGCCCGAGACTTCCTCACTCCCAGCTGTGGGCTCTAAAGGTGGCAGCTGTGATTGGGGCCAATTGTTGCCCCAAGCTCTGCAGATGTTTCCTCCCTGCCTGGTGTGAGACCCCCTGAGGCGTGTTCAGGTGTATCCTGTGTCCGAGCTATGGGGAACAGCAGCTCTGCCCTCCCCAGGTGCCCCCCATTCTCCAGGCCCGCCCACTGCATGCCTCTCTTCCTGCAGTCAGCACCTCCGAAATGCTTCCGGAGTCAGACCCTGCTCCAGCTGTGACTCTACCCAACTACCTGTTCCCTACCTCTGAGCCCAATGCCCAGAACGCAGGTGATGCTGGTGAGCAGGAAGAGCAGTCTCTGGAGGAGAGGGTCCTCAGAGAGGAAAGTGGCAAGAAGACTGGAAAATCAAAGAAGAGAAGTAAGGGCGGGGAGAAGCGTGTGTGTGTGTGTGTGTTCAGAGGAGTGGGCAGTGGGGGGCTAGGAAGACCCCAAGGGCTGAGCAGGCTGAGGCTCACAGACTCATGGAAGGGACCTCTCTGGGCTGGCAGGGATGGACTACAAAGCCTCCCTTCTGTAAGCCTGGCCTTCGCCTGCTGTTCTCTATGCAGCTCCTGTCTGCCCAGCACATGTGGACACTGCCAGAAATATCAGTAATCCCCATGGGCTGAATCTCAGGTCGAGAGTTCGGATACCAGGTCTGGACCCCTGGCCGGTCCCTGGAACTCTGGGGGCCTCTATCTATTCAAAATGACTCATGCCTCATGCTTATCTTCCTTGGCAGAGCTTATGAAGCAGAGACTGGATTTGACAGAGGACTTTGGACTTTCCCAAGCCTCAGCGTTATTGATTTACTCAGGGGGTGGCTGGCTGATGCCTCCTCATCAGCGTCGCCACTATACTGGCCTCCACAGCCATGGCGCCTTGGGCTGCCTCTCATTTCCAAAAGGAGGCCAGGCAGATTCTGCTCTTTGAAAGGTGCCTCGTTTGAAAGCATTACACTTCCCCAGATGGTGGGCCTGCTGTGGAGCTGCCTCTGAGGCCTGATCATGAGGGTCCAGATGCCTGTGGCTGAGGCTGTGGCCAAGGATTGACCTGGCCCCCTCAGTCTGTCCTGTCGCGCCCCATGTGGCCAGCTCACCACAGCCTCAGCCTCAGCCTGCTCTCTCACCTTCCTCTCACAGTCCGGAAGACAAAGGGCAACCGAAGCACCTCACCTGTCACTGACCCTAGCATCCCCATCCGGAAGAAGTCGAAGGATGGCAAAGGTATGGCCGGGAGTTGGAGAGGTGGGAGGGGTGGCTCTTAGCCTGCTGCTAGGGTCCCTGAGCCACCGCTCACTGACCCCTGCTCTGCAGGCAGCACCATCTACCTGTGGGAGTTCCTCCTGGCGCTCCTGCAAGACAGAAACACTTGTCCCAAGTACATCAAGTGGACCCAGCGAGAGAAAGGCATCTTCAAGCTGGTGGACTCCAAAGCTGTGTCCAAGCTGTGGGGAAAGCAGAAAAACAAGCCTGACATGAACTATGAGACAATGGGGCGGGCACTAAGGTAGGAGCTGCAGACGTGGAATCCCTGCCCTGGGCGTGTCACCAAGCGCTATGTCCAAGGGGTCTCTCCCACCTTAACTGAGGCCTGCTCTGTCCTTTAAGGAAGCGGGCCTCCTAGTGCTCCCATTAGCTTGCCCCACTCCCTCTTCCACTCTGGGAGGAAAAATCTCCTTCCTCTTGCATCTCTGCCCTGGGGGAGCATTTTCAGCCCCCCTCCCCCATCTCTAAGGAGGGTTTTCTGCACTTTGCAAGCCAGAGATCCAGGGAGATGGTCTTGAGTTGCCCCAAAGTGGGATTCTTAGGCTGGGGGCCTGTGGAACCCCTGCCATCCATTCCTTCACTCCCACTTCCATCCTATGTCCACTCCCCATCCTCAGCCCCAAAGCAAGATAGGGTTGGAACCACAGAACCCTTTGCATATCCTTTGAGCCTGCAGGGGAAAACCCAGGCCTTCCACACCCACCCAAGAGTTGACCAGGCCCCTTCCCTTGGCCCCAGGCTTGCCCTGCCCTGGAGGATAGTGTGGAAGGGAGATAGAGAGGGCAGGCCCCTGGCTCAGTCCTTGGCTAACTCCCACACCCCACCCCTTGTCGCCCAGATACTACTACCAAAGAGGCATCCTGGCCAAAGTGGAAGGGCAGAGGCTGGTGTACCAGTTTAAGGAGATGCCCAAGGACCTGGTCGTGATTGAAGATGAGGAGGAGAAAAGTGAGGCCCCAGCAGCAGCCCCTCAGGCCTCCACGTCCTCCACGAGCTCCACCCGCCGAGCCAGTTCCAGGGTGTCATCCAGGGCTGTCCCCCAGGGCAAGGGTGGCCCTTCCTGGGAGAAGCCAAAGATGCAGCACATTGGCCTACAGCCATCTTCGAGCCTAGAATTGGGACTGTCTCTGAATGAGGAGAGCCCCACTACCTCCACCATGCTTGTCTCCCCAGCAGACGGCCAGGCCAAGCTCACCAAAGCCGGGAGGTAAGGGCACCACAGCAGCCAGGAGCCTTCCTGCAGCCCCTTGGGTTAGGACTGCCTCCAACTTTTTGCAGAGCTCTGCTGTGATTCCAGGCTTTTAGGATCTTTATAGAACCCCTGGGAAGTCAGTAGGACCCTTGTGGACAAGAGAGGAAAGGTGACATGCCTACGGCCACACACCAAGTCACTCCAATGCCAGCACTTGACTTGGGGGGCTTCTGTTGCCAGCTGGGGCTGATTCTGCTACTCCAGAGTATGTCCCAAAGAGCTACCAGGGCCTTCCACACCCTGCCCAGTCATCTCCACTCCACAAGAGAGAACGGAGTAGACATGCCCGCTCTGCCTTCCAGCCACCCCCACCAAACTCTCACTAGTTCCACTTCTTTTCCTCATTCAGGGCCCCAAGTTTTCCCTGAAGAGGTTAGGCTTTGTCTGCTCCTCTTGCTGCACTGATGTGGCCCAGGAGGACACTCTTTCGAGAGGGAAGCAGTAGAGGGGAAGGGTGAGCTCTTGAGTCTAGATCCAAGTCCTTGCTCTCAAGTCTAGGGCTTACCAGCTGTGTGGTCTTCGGGTAAATTATGTAACCGCTCCATGACTCAGTTTCCTCAAGATGTAAAATGAAATAATTCTTATTTAGCTCATGCGCTGTTTTGAGGTTTGAGCAAAATGCAACATGTGAATCATTTGGAATAACCACTGAGTACTGGATAAATGCTAGCTAGAGCAACAACAGACAGAACACCTGCAACGCTGTCCCTGTTATACCCTCCTCCTTAGCTGGTCAGGAGGCCCCTCCTGCCTTAACCAACTCTTTTCTGTCTCATTTCAGTCCTTCTTCGGTGCCCAGCAACATCCACCTAGGAGTAGCCTCCATGGGGTCGGGCTCGGCCGTGACCCTGCAGACCATCCCACTGACTACAGTGCTGACCAACGGGCCTCCTGCCAGTACTACTGCTTCCACTCAGCTCGTTCTGCAGAGCATCCCACCCTCGTCGGCAACCTTCAAGGACACCTTCACTCTGCAGGCCTCCTTCCCCTTGAACACTAGTTTCCAAGAGAACCAGGTGGCCGCACCAGGGGCCCCGCTGATTCTCAGTGGCCTCCCCCAGCTTCTGGCTGGGGCCAACCGTCCAACCAACCCAGCACCACCCTCTGTCACGGCTGCTGGACCAGCAGGGCCCAGCTCTCAGCCCCCTGGGACTGTCATTGCTGCCTTCATCAGGACTTCCGCCTCCACAGCAGCCCCTGGGGTCAAGGAGGGGCCGCTGAGGTCCTCCTCATATGTGCAGGGCATGGTGACTGGGGCCCCCATGGAGGGGCTGCTGGTTCCTGAAGAGACCCTGAGGGAGCTCCTGAGAGATCAGGCTCATCTTCAGCCACTTCCAACCCAAGTGGTTTCAAGGGGTTCCCACACTCCAAGCCTTATGGGAAACCAGACTTTCTCTCCCCCTAGCCGCCCCACTGTTGGGCTGACCCCAGTGGCTGAACTTGAGCTCTCCTCAGGCTCAGGGTCCCTGTTAATGGCTGAGCCTAGTGTGACCTCATCTGGGAGCGTGCTGACCAGATCCCCAACCCCAGCCCCCTTCTCTCCATTCAATCCCACTTCCCTCATTAAGATGGAGCCCCATGACATATAAACGAAGGAGGTCCGAAGTATGACTCATGAGGGGAAGCTGAGCAGCAGCTTTACACGGACTGACTTACGTAGCGTACCTGCCCTTATGTTTCCAGGGAATTCAATACACCCGATCCTCAGCCCTCCAGGCTTGCCTGCCACCACCATGGCCAAGCTCTGTCCTGTTTGAGCATCCCTGGTATCAGACCGTGGCCTGCAGGAGCACAAGAGGATGTGCTCTCACCAGGATAATGGGCTGGCTTAGTGATGGAGGGAAAACTGGAGCCAGGGAGAAGCTTGTGGCCGCAACTGGCACAGGAACTTCGTGAGAAGAGTCGGGCCTGGCTGCATCTCGCCATCCGCATTCCCTGTGTAGGGGAATTTACTATCCCATATGTGAATAACTCTGTATGTATCTGTGTGTGTACTTCTGGGTCTCTATCTTCCTTTTCGGGGGGAGGACTGAGGTGTAGCTATGTGGTCTTGTCTTCAAGGATGTGTGTTATGTCCTTCTGTGGGTCAGCCACAGAGATGGGCATCTTTTCAAAGGGAATACATCCTCTGGTGCCCACGACTCAATGGCTCTGAGACTATGGGGTACAGATTTAATTCCCAGATCTAGAGATGTCACCAAGCTGGAACAGGTCCAGGCAGGAGAGCTTCAATGGGAACAATAAGGCTAAAGCCACAAAGGAAGGGGAGAGAAGAGAACTCAGCCCCAGGAGCAACCCCCACAGGCTAGACCAATGTGCTCTTCCTGGAGTTTGCCTCATTGCTCGCCACTGTCCCCATGCCAGCAGGCTGGGACCTTGGCCACCCTAGAGTGCTATGCTGGAGAAGTAGTCAGGGCAGAGCAGCCCTCTAGTCAGCCCCAGACATGAAGTCCCCAGTCAGGGCTGAGTTAATATTGAATATCTGTGCCTGGGTCTTCGGCTGTTTGTGCAACAGCAGCCCCGTGCCAGGCAACAGTTTCAGCTGGCACACTGCCCTGTGCACCCTGCCCTGGGTCACCTGGTCATTACTTCTCCCCTGAGATTTTCCAGCTGCCAGATGTTGCTAGGGGCAGTGGGCAGTGACCCAGGTGGGGTCTGCCACCTCGTCCCTGCTGTCCAGCCTGGCTTCTCACCTCAGAGGTGTGCCAGCCTCTCCTCATTTCCGATTCTCACACCTAATCGCCGCCCCTTCTTCACCAAGAAGGCAGGAGCCAGCTGACATGAGTTCCCAGGGCTTCACTCCATCTCCACATGGCTCCTCGCTTCCCTTTTGGCTTTCTGGGGAAGGGTCAGCCTGTTCTCTCTCCAAATCAGCCCCTCAGCTGAGGGACTGCGTCCCCCTCACCCCTCTCCCACTAAAACTGGGGGTAAAGCTAAGAAACATTGGGCTTGTGAGCAACTTTACTCTCTGGTGAATTTGGTTAATGTGAATCAGTGCCTCAGGACCTTTGCTTCATTCTTGGCACAAAACCACCCACTTGGCCTAACTACCTCCCCTGGCTGCCCTTTTTTCCTCCTTTTGTGGGCATCATTCTCTCTCTCTCTTCCCTCTCCTTCCCTGGAGAGGGACCATGTATGGCCATGCAGGTGCATTTACAACAGTTCCCAGCAGTTGGCACTGAAGTGCCTTTTCTAATAAAATCGGCTTATTATGACAATTTTCTGATGGTTGAAAGTAAGCATCTTGAGATAGGATCCCTTTTAAAAAAAGAAAATGGCACAAAGGCATGGCATGGGTTGAGAGTGGCCCTGCCCCTGTCTGAAATCTGTTTTCCGCCACTGCCAACTCCACAGACACCTGTCATTCCAGGGACATCAGAATCCTCACAGTGAAACCACGTGTCTCTTCAACAGTCTGAGCGCACACTAGCTGGGCCCTCCTCGCCATCATCCTTTCTCTGCACCTGGGCTGGCTCCTCATCTGCTACTTGAGACATGGGCGTTTCCCAAGGGTCTCATCATTCTCACCAGCTGGCTCTTCTGGATGAGTCTTAAATCTTCGGCTCCAGCGCTGTTTTCCTTCTACACCCCAGGCTTGTCTAGTAAGCTGCCAGACAATTCCACGTAAATGTCTGTCAGCCCCTCTATCAAATGAGGATCTTTAAATTCTTTCTACACGCACAAAAACAAAACCCAAGGAAAAGGCCACCAGGACTTGTCTATTTCGGTTAATGGTACCACATCTTCCTGCCCTCCTAAGCCTGAACTTCAGAGCTACGCGATTGCTGCCTTCACGGGGCCCTGCCCCCTCTCCCTTCTCCTACAGCTCAGTGCAGTTACAGTGTCCCACAATTTGGCCTGTCTCACACATCCTCACATCCCTCTAGCCTGGCTATATTATCCAGAGCCGCCCCTCCCTGGACACATCAGTGCCCCACCCAGTGTGACCAGACACCCTCTCCAATTTGCCGTAGCACCAACCCTGTCATTCTGCCTTCAGTGACTCCTGGCCTACATGTAGGGTGACACTTGAAGTACCTCTCCTTTCCACTCCTTCCTAGAGGCTTGTCAATAATCCTTCAGTTTCAGGACCATGGGACAGTCCAGGGGACGTGTGGGAAGGACGGGAGAGCACTTGCAGACTTCAGGGCAGTAACTGCAGAAGTACTTTTAAGTTTGGGCATCAGTTCCACCCTCAGACAAAGTCCAAGTCCTTGGCCCTTCACCATAAGTCCTGTCAGACTTCCCAGCCACCACACACTGCACCCGCCTCCGCCCCAGTGTCCTGCCCCAAACTAACTGCTTGGCACTTGCCTCTGTTCAAAATGTCCTGACTCTGCTTTTCCTTTACTGGGTTCTTCACAGTGTGACTGCTCTTCCTGTTCCCCTCATACCAACAAATTGTGTCTGTCCTCAAGACTCAATTCATGGAAGCTGCCTCCCCAAAGCAGCCTATCCTTAAGTGAGCTCTTTATTCTAAACTCATTACAATATTGCTCTTTGAGCAACTCATCACGAATAGCCTGTGACATCTCCTCTATTGTATTCCTGAACTGTTACTCAAGGCTTCAATGATCTGCACCTATTTAGACAGCCCAGTCAGTGTGTTACCTCCTGAGGGCCAGAGGGGACCGGATCCGCCATGGGACAGGCACACTATGAAGCAGATGAGCATCAGTGAACAGTTACTGATCGTCTGGTGGGAGATGGGGACCAAACTTTAAGGTAGGTGACCTCTGACCTCCCCTCTGCACAGGCACGCATTTACCCTCCCTGGCTCAGTACCCTCACGGTACCCGTGCCCACTTAGCACCCAATATTTGTTACTACTCCCAACATCCTCTGCCCCTCAAGAAACTTCCCTGTCCAGTTTCTTCCCTACTCAAAGTGTTAATGTAGCTAATCTGATAAACTAACCTGTGCTGATACAGTTATGGGAGTGAGAAGAGAACCAAAGGAGATGGGTTTTTTTTTTAGCCATGTGGCAACACCCCTGCCTTTGTGATGCTTTCAGAGTCAGGAGTTGAGTGGTAGTCCTTACCTCCCAGCAGCTGATGTGTTCCTCCCTCCTGGGCTCCCACGACACTTGTATATACCTCTTATTGAGGCAATAGCACACTGTAGCTCCTTAATTATGTGTTTATGTATGTTTCCCCTCCAATAGGCTGTGAGCTCCTCAAGGACAGGGACTGTGTGTCAGTCACTGTTATATCCACAGCGCCTAGCACAGTGCCTGGCACACAGTAGGTGCTCAATAAATGTTTATTGAAAGGATGAACGAGTCCTGAGTCCCATTATGGAGACTTCTGCTCTATACTCTGGAAGGCAAGAGGAGAGGAAAGATAATCCATACTTGGGAACTTCACAGCTTTTTAACTCGTCTAACACTGCTGGTAGCTGCTTCCTTTGCCCATGTCTATAGCTGTCTCTGCACAACAGGCCCACAAGGATCCCAAGGAGTTTCCAGCTACGCCTCGCTGTCACCAGGTGCCACAGATGATGCCCAAACTGCCTGTTGGTCACTGCCTCCTTCCTCACCACCATTTCCTCATCCCAGGGTGGGACTGAGGGATGGAAATGTCAGCCCTGTCGGGGGGGGGGGGGGAAGAAGTTATTCTGACGGTCACAAGCCTTCTGATCCCATCACCTATTATAGAAGAGGCAGTTACCTCCAGCTCCAAAGCCGCTGGGCCTGGAGGGAGTGAGCTCATTCACCTCCGGGCGCCTGGCAGCCTTCGAGATCGCCTCTGCCCTGGCGCGCTGGATGTGGAAGCCGATGTGCAGCAGGTGGCGCTGTGGAGCCGGTGATGGCCAGCAGAGCCCGAGAGGTGGTCAGGGCGGAGCCTACCGCTTCCAGGAGAGACAGCCGCTGCAGACGTCTTGCTGTGCCTCGGTCAGGTCCCAGCGCCCCCAACTATTCCTGGGTGACTCTGGCCCCACCAACAACCTTCACTGCTCTGGAGCTTCGAACTTTCACCTCGGCCCCTGCCCACTTTCCAGGGGGAATTATCAAACCATTGTATGGCCCCTCCCCATTGGTAGCCGGCCTCTGGCCCCGCCCTCTGGCCCCCTCCCCCAGCCTCGCGGACCAGCAGGTGAGCACGCGGCCCGCCAGGCCTCCAGCGCTGCCCGCCCAGGGCCCTGAGGCTGCAGAGCTCCCGCTGCGGCCGCCGCCGCCCCTCCTCAGAGGCCAGGTCTGGTCCAGCCAGCCTGCCTTTTGCTACACTTTCACACACCGCTGCTTTCTACCTTGAAATCGGAGAACAATCCAGGCGCCCGCGACATCCAGACATCCACTCGCCAGCGGAGGTCCTGGACCGCCCATGGCACAAGCAGCGCAAAGCAGTGGAGGCGTCCCACTGCTGTGGTGGCCAGTCACCCTCCCGGTGGCAGCCCCGGCCTGCTACTAGGTCTAGTAGGCCTGAACATTTTGGATCTCAGTGTGACAGAGATGCCTTGGGTAGATCCTACCCTTCCTCAAACACAAGACCAGACACAATAAAATGCCCAACAGACTTCCTTCCCAGTTATTAGGTTAGAACAGTGGTGGCGAACCTATGGCATGGGTTCTGCAGCGGACACGCAGAGCCCCTCTGCACACAAGCCAAGTCACCCTGGAGTCACCCCAACCTCCAAACATTCAAATTTAATTGCAGTGTTGGCACTTTGCAATAAATAAGTGGGCTTTGGGGTACAGTTTGGATACTCGGTCTCTAAAAGGTTTGCTATCACTGGGTTAGAGTCTGGAAGGAGCAGTTTATAGGCCCATCTGCCCCTCCTCTACTCATGATGTAGGGATCCGAGATAGTCCTCTCTCCTGAATATGGAGCCTTGAACAGGGCTTCTTTCAACCCCAAAGAGGAACATTCTGGTAAGACAGTCATTAACTCTAGGCTTGTGACTGGCTCAGAGAAAGTAGCCGTTATTTCATCCAGCCATTATTTTCATGACTCCCATTAGTCGGGCAGGTCGGTAAACTGAACAGATGGAACAAAGGCCTGGGGAGATGAGCTTCTCAACCAAGGTGGGCTGTGGGAAGTGGCGGCGCTGGCTCTTTCCTACAGCACACTGGAAGGATTAGGAAAGCATTTAAAAGAGGCCATTGGTGAGATGTAGGTGTAGACTTAACAACACCGTCCACACCCCCTGCCTTGTTCTTTACAACCTGGCAGAGGGGCAGTGGGACTCCGCAGAGGTTCAGGTAAAGGAACCCAAAAGCATGAACAAAGAAACTGTGGTTTGCTTCTGCTTTCAACTCCACTCCTTTGGTGGTCTCTAAGCCTTTGGTCCAATTGTCTCTTCGGTTCACTGCCACCTCCAATGCCTACTTTTCTACTTACTTAGGTATTCAACTGGGCATCCCTTCTCCGAGGAAGTCTTTCCCAGACACCCCAGGGCCCTTGCCCATCCCTTGAGCTCCCATAGCATTCTGGAGCCAGTTGAATCCTCATACTCATCACATGGCTTTCCTGACCTACTGACATGTCTGATTTCTTGACTGCATATTCCAGGGGATCAACCTGCTATCAGAGCCACTGTAGGGTTGGTTGTTTGGGGGGACTTTGCAATCAGAAAGTAGGGAGAGGAAGGCCAGTGAGGAAGATAAATGCTGGAACTCAAAAAGGATGATGCTCCCTGTATCTGCACAGAAAGACCTAGGTCGGGGTAAGCCTGAGGCTTGAACAAGGAAAGCAGCTCACAGTTAACTCCAGGGGAAGGCCTGACTCCAGCCAGCCAGCCAGCCACACAAATGCCCTCACCCACACACACACACACAAGCCACAGGGAGAGACGAGAGATGCTGCAGCCCAGGCCTCTCCAACATCTCCTTCCCCTCAAATATAAGAGCACATTCTGGAGCCCACACTCAGAAGATTCATAGCTTCTAACACTGTTTTTCAGAAGCATAAAATCAAGAGTGGGTATTGTGCCTTTAGAGTAGCTGGATCATTGGAAATCAGAAGTGTGGAAGGCCAGCATTGCAGGGGAGCAGGGCAGGCACTGGCACAACCGTGAGGGAGGGCAGGATGGTGACCAGAGCTGAGCAGAGCATGCAGCCAGTGGGTGGTCCGGGGCAGGAAGGGGAGCCAGCAGGCAGGCGATTTCCTCAGAGAGGCTTATTCCCCTCGGTCCTGCGACTCCTCTAGCAAACAAGAACTCTCCTGTACACCCCCACACAGACCAGTGCAACCAAACCTAGATACTCAGTTTGCCCCACCCGCCCCGGCCCTGGGATTTGTCTTTCCTTTTCTTTTCCAGGTCATGATCCAGTGACTGTGCCCCTGGGGACCACAACTACCAAGCAGGATCAGGGGGTTTCCCATTTATGATGTAGGGGCAGCATAACCTCCAGAAAGCCAGAAGGGGAAGAAGAGTGAAGAGACAGGAGACAGAGGTCCTGACACGAGTTTTTCAGTATGCAAGTGTTTTTTGACTCCACAGCCAGTTGCTTAAAATGAAACATAAAGGGCAGCCAGAATATACACCCAAATGCAAAAAAAGTAAAGGCAAACATAAAACATAAAGTAAACCACACGATACCATGAACCCCAAAACCAAAAAATTAAAATCCAAAACCCCTCAACTTTATATATATATATATATATTTATATATATATATTTAGGTTTTTTTGTTTTTTTTTTTAAAAAGGGAGAACAACTTCAAAACCAACTGGGCAGGATGATGGGGCTGGGGAGCAGTCCTACAGAAGGGGGCCCAGAAATTCCCCCAGGGAACAAAGAACAAACACAATACAAAGAAAATAACCACCAATGCTCCCAGATGGGTCAGGAGCCTCCGGAGAACAGATTGTCCCATCCTCAAACTGGCTTTTTTTTCCTTTTTTTGTCTTTTTTTTTTTCCATTTTCTTCTTTTGTTGTTGATGTTTAGCACCTGTACAATAAAACTGTACCATCTCCAACCAGAGCCAGCCACAGTGAGGCCCTCCTGCCTTTGGATGGTACAGACTCTCTACAAGGATTGTTCGGAAAAATAGCAATCGGTAGAAAAATAAGAGAGTGGGAAAGACACGCCACAGAGAGGCTGGGGACAGGGAAGCACCCCGAGCTCCTCCTTCTCCTCCTCTCCTGGCCTGGAGGCTGCGGGTGGGCGGCCACACACTCAGCCTGAGTGGAGCCTGGGCTGCAGACTGGTCTCCTGCCTTCGCCTAGGAAAGCACTGGCGCTGCCTGACGTCACACCAGGCTGTCAGCCCCAGAGCCCTCCACAGATTCCAAAAGAGAACAGTGGGGGGCGGGGTGAAGATGGGAGTCCAGGGCCCAGAGGCAAGAGGCTCAGTATCTGGAGAGGGGGAGGCCAGGACAGGATGGAATGGGTAGGGATGTGGGGAAAGATGGAAGAAGAACCCCATATTGTTCACCTTGAAGGGAGCAGGGAACCCTCAGGCCCATTCTCAACTCTCCTTTACTGGAGTAACTCACAAGCCCCTTACCCAATTCTGCTCTCCCCAGTAAACACTAATCTCAAGATGGCAGGTCCTCTGTGAAGGACAGGGAAGAGAAAAACTGGCAAGGGAAGGGGAGCACCAAAGCCTCAGGATTTACCCCCAGGCCCCCAGCTCTGAGCCAGCTTCATTAGTCACATGTTCTCCACCCAGCCCACCTGGGCCCCTCCCGGGGTGGAGTGGGGGAGCAACCTGGGGATAACTCTGTCAGAGGGAGGGAGCAGCCCCAAAGCTTATCAAGAAACAGAAAGGAGGTAAAGAAAGTCCCTCAATACAACAAGTTGTCTCAAATCGTCACAGTGATACAGACTTATCAGAAACCAATGAAACAATACAAATTAAATACTAATAAAATAAATACTATGGAAGACAGAAGAACACAGGGGGACAAGGGGTCGCTCAGGGTTAGGCTTTTCTCATTTCTCCTTGGAACAGGCCACAGCCACCCAGGCCCATGTTTGGTCTCGGTCATATGCAAAGGTTCCAGTCCAAGGGACCCTGGCGCCACCTCCTACCACCCCCACCCCCCGCCGGACCTCTTGTCTTCAGACATGGAGTTCAACTTTCCACCCCCATCACCAACCACAATGACAATGATGACAGGGAGATGAGAACTAACTGTAACCAAAAAACAAAAAGAATCCAGTCACTAATGCTGGCATTGATAAGGCGGCTTCTTGTTGGTCCATATTATTGCCTCATTCTGCAGTCTGGTGCTCGGTGGGGGGACAGGGGAGGTGGGGGAAGGGTGAACTTGGGAGGAGAAAGAAGAGGGGGTGCCGTTTTCCTGGTCAACTGTTCCAAGACTGGAATTCCACCTCAGACCCTAGGAGCCGAAGGAGCTCGGGCCCGTAAGCAACCAGCTCCACAGTCTCAGAGGAGCCAGGGGGAGATCTGTCCTCCACGCCACCAGGCCTCTCAGCAGGGGTCAGCAGCTGACTGGAGGCTACCTGCCGGTAGAACTCTGCCTTGGGCAGGGTGGTGATTTCAAAGTGCGGGAAACGGGCCTGAAATATCCTTGAGGAGAGCTTCAGCCGTTTGAGGACATCGGTGAAGAGGAACCAGTTGCAGGGCCTGAAAAGGCAAGGGTGGGGGTTAAGAAGGGAGGCTCAGGGGGCTTGGCTGGCACTGCCAGAAGCACTGCAGATGACCGGAGAAGGCTGAGTGAGCCCTGCAGTCTAACTTGGCCCTGGTCCTCCCAAAGAAACTTAGTGCTAGTCTAGCTACCTCTCACTAAACCACATTCTCACTGGGTGAGACTGAGACAAATATTTTCTCCTAGCCAAGCTGAAAATCAGTGAGTACTCAACCTGTGACCCAGCTCTTCCAAGGAGAGCTAGCAGGAGGGAGCCAGGCCTGCCAGAACCCAAACCTCGTAGCAGGCTTCCCCAGGGCTTTGTCTGCACCCGTGACCTGGGATTTCCCATCTGCCAGGACCATTTCTTCCCGACGCCTTGCCCCTGCCCACCTCGTCTGGTTTCCCTTTCCTGTTCTCACTCCTGCTTCCCTGGCCTCCTTGTTCTCCAAGATCATCCCCAGCAGAAAGGGAGCCGTGGAGAAAGGCCTAAACTTCGGGTAATCCAAAAGGCATTTCTGTTTGGCTCTGGAATGCATTAGACAAGTTTGTTTTCCAGCAGCGGCAGCAGCAGCAGCGGCAGCACCAATGTTTCTGCAGTCTGGAGCTCACATTACATAGAGTCTGCCATTGCTTAGCACACCCGACTGGGCAGCAGCCTGGGGACAGCTGGGAGGGGTGCTAGAGAGGCAGGTCACAGGCCAATAGCCTACACTGACTAAAGCAGGAAGAAACACTGCCTCCTCGTGTTAGTCTTCCCGTTTCCAGGGCTGCCCCAGCTCCAGCCTTGGACTCCTCTTGTCTAGGCTGTATTGTATGAGTCCCTGACTGGCTTCCTTTTGTCCAGAATCACTCTTCTGCACCCCACCCACCCTCACTGGATCCTCTGTAACAATTAGTTTTCTACAAAGAAAATCTGACTCTCCACTCCACTTTTTGAACAGCTTCCAGACAGATCCCCAGTGCCTCCAGGAAAAAGCTCCAAATTCTTTAGCAAGATATTAAATAAGACCTTCCAAAGATGACTCCATGTGACCTCTTCAACCCAATCTTCATCCACACCCATGACCCCCAGCATACACTGTATCCCATACCTCATGTGCCAGCCACATGATCAGGACTACTCCTGCTTTTGCAACCTCCTCAACTAGTGTGTCTCAGTGGCTCTGCTCGTGCCATGCCATGTTCCCTTCTCACCTTCCTGGCCCAGCTCATATGCCACATCACCCATGACTCTGTGCTCATCCCCCCCGCCCAAGCCTCATGGTGCCTGCTCCACACCCCTGTATCACAATACTGATTTCCAAAAGAGCCACTTGGAAGGGCTGCAGAAGCAACACAAAATGGGGCCTCGGGATGAGGGGTTAGGGGTGGACTGGAACTTTTATTTTTCAATAGACACCTTCTGAACTGTTTAAGCTTTTTATAATAAACCTGCTTAGAACATTTGGTCTTTTATTAGAGTTATTATATATTTGTCTGTTTATTACATTAGACTCTAGATTCTTTGAAGGCCAGAGCTGTGTTCTGGTCGGCAGGGTTTGACCTACTGCAGCTGCTTAAGACATATTATGATATCGAATGTTTTGTACAGCACTTAAAACATCTAGCCAGACCTACAATCTTTATCCTTAAAATGCACATGCAACATTTCTTCCAAATGATGGTCATTTCATGTGATTAGGGAATGGAGTGTTCCAGGCTAAGAGAAAGGGACCACTGATGCCATACACTTAGGCCCCAGGTTTTTTTTGGTACCGGGAATCGAACTCGGGTCCTTGCGCTTGTGCAGCAGGCAGTGAAACCACTGAGCTAAATCCCCATCCCTACCATACACTTAGACCATCACTTTCAAAGAATGGGGGAATGCCGGGGATTTAGCTCAGTGGTTCCACTGCCTGCCTCGAAAGTGCAAGGTCCCGAGTTTGATCCCCTTCAAAACATTCCTACTGGCGATCAGAATCTAGTCTTGCTTTGATGATTCAGAGGGGACTTCTTAAAGACCTGACACAGCTACATTATGCTGCAGCTGTGGGGAAGGGCAGTTTCAGAACAAGCGCTGCAGGACAGAAGGCAGCTTTCCCAGTAGCCAGGTCTCAGCTGACAACTTGCCTGACACCTGGCTCAGAGAGTGGCACAAGGCCCTTGCTCGCCCATGTTATGTCCTTACCTACAGCAGCCTAGCCTGGTCCTTTTACTGCCTGCAGCCCCAAGATCCTGTTTCAGAGGAGGTGCTGGATACTTTGGAGGAATTAATTCACTATGCAATACTATATCCCAGAGGCCCCGCCCCGCCCACAGGGATCAGCTTCTGCCCAGAAGAATAAGGACCAAAGCCCCTGAAACTTGATCCCTACTAGTGTCATCATATAGGCTATTTTTATTCTTATCAGGCCATGGGGGAAGGTATGCAAAGAAATGGGGCCTAGGGGCCAGTGTCATAAACAGAGGGCACTCACTAGATGCATTCCTAATCTGTCATTCACCCTGCTCACTATCCTGTGCATGTTGTGCTGATTCTTTGGGTTTTAAAATAGGGCTTAATAGCCAGGCAAGGTGGTGCAAGCCTATAATCCCAGCACTTGAGGCTGAGGTAGGAGGATTGTGAGTTCAAGGCCAGCCTAGGTTACATAGTGAGACTCTGTCTCAAAAAAATAAAACAAAACAAAACAAGTAAAATGAGTTTGACTGAGCTGGGCACACTGACATATGCCTGGAATCCCAGGTACTTGGGGCAGGAAAATCATGAGTTTGAGGCTGGCCTGGGCAACACACCAAGATCCTATCTCAAAAAAAAAGGTCTGATATTTTAAAAACAGGTATCAAGGGCCACTGTACTCTCCTTCACAGTGGTCTGTTCTCACCTTAGAGTATACTTCTTTTCCTACTTTTAATTGGCCCATAGTTGCTCTGCAGAGCATGTTTCTTTTCCTACCTTTAATAAATGTAAAACTTCACTAAACAAAACAAAACAAAAGAAAAAAAAAACAAGTATCAAAGAAAAATAATCCTGGACCGGGGATTTAGCTCAGTGGTGCCACTGACTGCCTTGAAAGTGCAAGGTCCCGAATTCTATTCCTGGTACCAAAAAAAAAAATCCTTAACATCATTTTAAAAATACTTAGGGCCGGGGATTTAGCTCAGTGGTGCTGTGCCTGTCTGGCAAGTGCAAGGTTCTGAGTTTGATTCCCGGTACAGGAAAAAAAAAAAGGTAAGCTTATACTTTGGGCCGGGGACGTAGCTGAGCAGCACTGTGCCTACCTGGCAAGTGCAAGGTCTGAGTTTGATCCCTGGTACCAAAAAAAAAAGGGGGGGTGAAAATACTTAAAAAAAAATACTTAATGATGGAGGAACAAAAGGGAAATCGATCCTGCATTCTCATCTTCCCAAGCAGTGCATCCATATGCTGATGTGCAGGGAAACCCAACAAGAACCACAGTCCTGCAGGCTGTTGAACTCCCTTCTGAATCATCCAAGAGAGAACCAGTTGGGTCCCATCTAATATTAAGTGTCAGCTATACTCTAGTCTCTGTGAAGAGGTGCTCCCCATTATCACACACACAGTCATCTGAGCTACCAGCATGATGCCATCACCTTGCCAACATTAAGGCTACAAGAACCCAGGCTGCAGATTGCTTAAGGACCCTAGTGGCTCCACAGCTATGGCAACCATATGTCCTGGCTTTTCTAAGAATCTCAATTGCAAATATTCTGTCTGCCTGTCTCCAGAAACTACAAAAATGTTCCAAGGATTCTAATAGTTCATCAGCCCAAATATCTCCCAGATAATTTCTTACACCCAGTGCACAAAGGGGATTCAGGAAATGCATGCAGCCGCCAGACATAGTGCAGATCTAGAGGTCCACAGACCTCTAATCTGAACTCAAGTTATGTTCAGACTGGGCTCGGAGATCAGGCTGGCCCTTGTCACATTTGACCTTTCCCAAGCTCCAGTCTTTGCCTCTTCCCAGACAGCTTCACCTTCCCCAGAAGCGGGGGCTGGGGGTTGCCAGGATCGGGGTACACAGTCCCTGTGGATCTCTTAGACACTTACCCACGGGACACTGACACTTGGAGGTTGTAGCAAGGGAGAAGAGGCTTGTCTGAGAGTTCAAACATGAAATCATCCTCTTCCACATCATCTCCTTCTTGATCAGCGCTCCCAGGAGGATTGTGTAGGAGGTCACAGGTAAACCCATCTTTTTGCTCTGTAAGGATAATACACAGAGACCTGGGACTCTACTACGTGAACATACTGAAGAGAAGAAATGCTCCAATCAGATAAAGGGACATGAAGGGGTGCTTAGGAGATAAGCAACAAGGCCACAGGTCTTTGGCTGGCCCAACGGTTGCTGTTGCTGATGCCAAGGTTCGGTTGTTGATGCTACGGTTTGCATCATTGAGAGGACAGGTAAAAGCTCTAGTCCTGGAAGGAAGTACTTTGTGGCCAAAGATTTATTACATTCTTCCACCCTCTGACTGGAAAAAGCAAGGAGACACAAAGGATGAGCTGCTCGGCTGTTGGAGATGGAAGCCTGAAGACACTACCAGCAGTCCAGTATAAGGTAAAAACACCTGCCCTTCCCTGGCTACAGCTTTCCTAAGCAGCCTCCCTGCGTGATTCTGAGGCCTGGGGCTCAGATGTTTCTTGCCCCCAGCCGCGGGTTTGGGTGTGGCCTGTTGCATTCCATCCTGACCTTTGGCTGCCCTAGTTTCCTCCAAGCTTAGAGGTGGGGGCTTCCCTTAATTGTTACCCCCTGGCCCACTGCAGACAAAGACATGCCGATCTTCCAAAAGAGTGAATGAAGCTTAGGGTAGAAGGCTAAGGGGCCAGAGAACCCCAGCTATCTCAAAAACTAGAGGGCTGGGGATTTAGCTCAGTGGTGCCGATGCCTGCGCCTGCCTCATGAGCGCAAGGTCCCGAGTTCAATCCCGATACCCAAAAAAAACAAAAACAAAAAACTAGGTGTGCACCATGGGGGCAGGGTAGCGAGGGAATGGCAGCTGCCAGATGCATCGCACCCTCTTGAGTATGAGCAATACCAGGAGAGGTGACAGTGTTTATGGAGGCTTCTGGTGGGATTAAGAAGAGAGAGAATTTTAAAAGTACCCACAGTGGGGAGTGGTAGCAGACTAAGGAGGGAGGCCTTTGTCCATCCAAATCAAAGTTACATCTTGTGATTCAGGCAAAATGACTTGGAGGTCTGGTAGAAGGAGGGTTAGGGTTTGGGCTGAAGGGGTCTGTAAAGGCTAGTGCAGGTGAAGAAGGGCTACCTCATAGGATGACTCCTATCTTGAAGAATCAGTAAAACCCAAACCAAATCCTACATCTCTAAGCCACATACAAGGGTAGCGTTCTTCCCACTTAAAGCTTACCCAACACAGAACTGCTGTAGAAGTCCCAGGATACACCTGGATCCCCTTCTGCCCGGCCCTGAAGATCCGAGAGGTGATCTGAGGAAAGAAGAGATGGCAGTGAGAACAGGAGGGAAGGCTGAAGAGGAGCGCTCCACAAATATGTAGCTGGAAGATGGGAGGAGGAAAGAAGGGCCAAGAAGGGACCTGGAGCGACCCACTTCCTGCTTCCAGTTGAGGTTACAAAGCAACAGCCAGGAGCCGAATAGAGCCCACGACTGCCTGGGGTTTGAGCTAGTGTTCAATACAAGAAAAACATTTAACCTCCAACAATTTAAAACTTAGAGATTTCACTTAAAAATCTGGATTTCCAACTTTTCACTCCTCCCAAAAAAATCAGATCTGGCAACACTGTGTCTGCATTCCTTCATGTCAACAGTTGGCTAGAGGGAGCTGCGACATGTGCGGGCTCTAGTCCCCACCCAGCCTCTTCCCTCCTATACATCAGCCTGAGGGCATGTAGTTTTAGGACCCCTGCCTCAAACTGCATAGGGAATTCCTCTACAAGCAGAATCCTAGACTCACCCAGCATTTTCATTCCCTGTTGGTCCCAATGTTAACAGATCCAATCACAATCTCTCTCTCCGTGTTATGTGTCTCTCTGTCTGTCTGGTGTGTCCACGCCCTCCTTCCCTTCCCCTCTGTCTCTCTCTCATTTTCTATTTTGAGACAGGGTCTCACTAAGTCCTAAGTTGCCCAGACTAGGCTCAAATTTGAGAACCTTCTGCCTCACCTTTCTAAGTGCTAGGATCACAGGTGTGTGCCACCACGCTGAGCTTTTCTTATTATATTTTTTAACAGGGTCTTTCTGTTTAGCTTAGACTGGTCTTGGACTTGCTATGAAGCCCAGACTGACCTCAAACTCACAATCCTCCTGCCTCAACCTCCCATGTACTGGGATTCTAGGCATGTGCCACCACATCTAGCTTTTACTGTTTTTTGGTTTGTTTGGTTTTTTTTGGTACCGGGGATCAAACTCGGGTCCTTGTGCTTGTGCAGCAGGCGGTGAAACCACTGAGCTAAATCCCCAGCCCATAGCTTTTACTGTTTTGAAACAAGGATCTCACTAGCTGCCCAGTCTGGTCTCGAATTCCTGGATTCAAGTGATCCTCCCCACCTCAGCCTCTCAAGTAGCTTGGAACTACAGGCACACGCCCCTAAACCTCACAACAGGGCCGTATAATTTCTATGTCTCACTGCTGGGCAGCTCTGAACCACCGGTGGAACATATATGACTGTCCCATCCAGTGGCATGAGCTGTCTGATGGGGCGGGAATGCATTAAAGTAAGATAAGTGGCCGGGATGTAGCTCAGTAGTAGAACAAGTGCAAGGTTGTGGATTTAAGTCCCAGCTCCAAAAGAAAAATAAGTGTAATTCCTTTTCTTTTGTCTTTGAAAATCATGGGGAAAATAGCCAGGATTATCCTCATAAAAATTCTTCTCCTTTTGTTCCCAGGTGTATAACCAAAAGAACTGAAAACAGGTGTTCAAACAAAAACTTAAGCATGAACTTTCACAGCAGCTCTATTCATGACAGCCAAAAGGTGGAAACAACCCAAATGGCCATCAGTGATGAGTGGATAAACAAAATAGGATACATCCATGCGGTGGAATATTATTTAGCCATAAAAAGGAATGAAGTATTGATACAGGTTGCAATACTGATGCGAAGTGATAAAAGCCAGAAACAAGAGGAGACATAAAGAACAAAATACTGATACATATCATAAAATGGACAAATCTTGAAAATATAATGCTATGTGAAAGAAGCCAGTCACAAGGGCCACACAGATTATTTCATTTACATGAAATGTCCAGAATAGAGAAGTCCACCGAGACCAAAAGCAGATTGGTGGCTGCCAGGGTTAGGGGAAGAGGGGAATGGGCAGTGGCCGCTAACGGGGACAGGAAAAAGTTCTGAAACTTGACAGCTGTGAGGGTTGTACAATATTGAATGTCCTGTCACTCAACTACATACTTTAAAATAGCTAAAATAGTAAACTAGGTTATGTGTATTTTACCATAGTAAAACAACTTTTAAAATCACCTTTCACTCCCTGGCCCCACAGACAGATCTCGGGTCACCTTCAGCCTCCTTGTTTCCCAGCTAGACATCATCTAGTGGAACTGTTTCACCTCTTGGTCCCACCCTGACAAAAAAGCAGGCCCACTGGCTTTCATGGCCCAGCAGCTGCCAAGATGCCACTGACTTAGCTGTGCGTGGTTGCCACCAGCCCTTAAGTGACACCTAGACAACAGGATAGGCGAGTTCAAAGGGCACAGGTGACGTGCTCCCTGGAGGGAGCTGGCAGTCATTCTTGGCGCTCAACTTCCCAGTGGAAAACACCAGCACTACCTGCCATCCCTTGCCTCTGGTCATTCTAGCAGGAAGAACCCAGCTTAGCTATTGAGCTGCTGAAATCACTCATTTTTTTTGCCATCTTCTAGTAGTCGAAGGGTTTCCCACAGTAGGAAAGGAAGCCAGAGCGAAGCTTTCAAAGTAACGGGCAAGCAACCAGTCATGCACATCAGATCCTTTCACATGGCCAGGTGCTATGCTCTGTTGTGCCCTGTACCATACGAGAGAGTCAGCAATGTTCCTTCCAGAAGCATCTGCCAGGTAGATAGGTGTCTACTCCAGGCCCAGACCTGTGCTTGGGGTCATGGAAGATAAAGGAAGGAGAACCTAAGTCCCTAGAAGGCAGGGGCCACGCTAGTCTTGTTCACTACTGCTTCCCCTACACCTAAGCCCAGTGCCTGGCACATGGTAAGGGCTAACAGACATATGGGGGAGGAGGGAGGGAGGGAGAGAATTGCAGAGAGGTGAGACTCTTAAGTGCTCGCTCAAGCAGCATGCTGAAACACATGCGCTCAAGACCGGCTGCCCCTCCCCTGCAAGAGGTCACACAAGGGTTCCATCAGAGTGGCCGCGCTCACCACATTCCTGGGGCTCCTCGCTGGGAACTGCCTTTGGAGCCCCCAGCACATTCCTCCAGTTTCGCACTGCCTTCACATCTGTCTCATGCAGGTGAGCCTGCCTTTTGCGGGCAGCCCAAAGTTAACTGGCAGGAGCGAAGGGGCCCAGCAGCAGCACACAGGAGGAGCTCTGGACCTGCCTGACAGGGCAGCACCAATGCCCGTGCCTCATAGATGTTCACATAGCATCAGGAGCAAGCATGACCTTCCTTTCCCTTGATTCTCCCTATCCCTGCACCCAGCTACAACTTTCCGTCCTACACTCTTCTCTTTTCCTTGAAAAAGTGCCCTGGACCCTGCAATCCCCTCCTATATATACATTCCAAAGAACTGAAAATGGGTAATCAAAGAAGTACTTTTACATGCAGGACCACAGTGGCACTAATGACAATGGCCAGAAGCTAGAGATGGCCCAAATGCCCATCAGTGGGTGAAGGGATAAAAGAAACGGGGGATACACACACATTGGACTACTACTCAGCCATCAAGAGGAATGACTGCTGAAGTCAATATACTACTGGAAAGAAGCCAGATACAAAGGCCCCAGATGGTATGATTCTATTTATATAAAATGCCTACAATAGGTAAATCCATGGAGACAGAACAGAGAATGGTGGTTGCCAGGGGCAGAGAGGAAGGGAAAAGGGGCAGGTGCTAAATGGGTACAAGGTTTCATTTGGGGGCTGATGAAATCATGTTTTGGAATTTGCACAATGTAGTGAATGTACTAAATACTACTGAATTGTTCACTTTTAAATCATTAATTTTATCTTACATAAATCTCACCTCAAAACAAAACAAACACACCTCAGGGCCTCAAAGCAGAGCCTCCCACCTCCATGTGAGCTGCAGCCCTCAGAGTTTCTGTATTTCCTAGGGTGCCAAATCCCCCTCCCCATTGCCTCTAGCTAAGTCACCAAATGAGGGACACAAAAGGAGAGAAAAACAAAAAGCTGGCAGTAGGGCCGGGGATTTAGCTCAGTGGTTCTGCAGCCTGCCTTACAAGTGCAAGGTCCCGAGTTTGATCCCCAGTACCGAAAGAAAAAAAAAAAAGCAGTCTTCAACATGGGGTCATACAGCAAAGGTTTCTGGCAGGAAAAACAAAACCGTGAGATTCAGTGACCTCAAGTGGTAAACTGCTAACCCTTTCAGCAGTGGGAGGAAAAGCAGTCCTGAGAGGCCTCTGATGCTCCCAACCAAACTGCAGCAAGCTCCCCCACCATCCCTCTCCACATTCCTTCCCACCGACAAGGAAAGGCAAATCTGTTTTCCTTTGGCTGGCTTGGTCTTTTCTTCAAAGGGTCAAAGGTAAACCAATCAGAGGTCTGGCTATCATTTGGCCTGAGCAGGGAAAGCCTTCCAAAGGCCTCTTGGGGATCTGGGCCACTTGGAGCTCCGACCCTGAAAATGAGGTAGGAAGGGTTTACTGTCTGGCCTGCAGCACCCAGCATAGCACCTAGAACCTAATAGGTGCTCAACAAATGGAAGGACAGACAAACAAGCGAGGGAGTGTAGCTCTATCCTTCCTGAGTCAGAAGAAATGGGCCTCACCTGAAGTCAACCCCAGGTAAGACAATCCACATTTACAACCAGCATGAATTACCAGCATCTTCTGCTTTAAGAAAGGATGTACTGGAGGGTACCTACAAATAATGAGTTCCTTTGTGTACTTAGAAGACTGGAGCTGGGTGTGGTGGCTCACGCCTGTAATCCCAGCACTGGGAAGCTGAAGCAGGAGGATCACCTTGAGTTCAAGGCCAGCCTGGGCTACATAGGGAGACCCTGTCTCAAAAAGAAAAAGGAGGGGGGGCGCTGGGGATTTAGCTCAGTGGTTCCTCTGTCTGCCTTGCAAGAGCAAGGACCTGAGTTGGATCTCCAGTACCAAAAAAAAAAAAAAAGACTCGAGTCCCAGATAACTCTTCCAGAATAGGGGCCTTGTACAAAGCCAGAGCAGCTGTCCACGAGGCACAACTCTGACACTCAGGCTCGCCTTGTCTGCCTGCAGGAAATGGAGCTCTTTGCACCCTACAGGGACTCACCTCCGTTTACTGCCCAGGGAGACCTCCACTGAGGGAAGATGAAGACAATTAATCTAGCGAGTCTGGCCTGGCAATGGCTTGGGGATGAAAAGCAAAAAGCTTTTTAAATACCTCAGCTAGACAGATAATGTTAAAACGAAAAAAATCCACTTTAAAAAGAAAAAAGTCAACACAGCAGATCCGGGTGCAGGGGCTGGAGAGGAGGGTAGCAGAGGGGAGGGTTCCCTAGCCTCCAACCTCGCTCCCTGTAGCCATCATCCCATCTGCCCAGAGGTCCCTGAGAGTCCGCAAGGAGTCATTCCAGGATGAAAAATCAGAGGAAATACTCAGTTCAAGGCATCAAAAGGGCGCACCCCTGGTGATGCTCAGCTTAAGCAGTCATCACTGGCCCAGGCCAAATGCCTGAACGAACATCCCAATGCTCCCTCTTGTCCCTCAAGGACATGGGCCTGGGGATCCAGAGCTGAGGGAGAAAAATGGAAAAGAAGCCCTCCAGCCTGAAGCCTGCACTCCAGGGTTCTGTCTGGTTGACTGGGACCTGACTGGAGACTGGCTGGGCAGAAGTCACCCTCCCTCGGTAGCCTCACATAACCCCCTGCACCGCCAGCTTCCACAGTATAAAGGTAGTGTTCTCTACCTGTCCCTACTCCACCAGAACCTTCGGTAAAGGTCCCTCTTTCTTCCTCTATTATCAGCTACTTCATTAACGTTTGTTCAATAAACAAATGAATGCCTTGGTGGGAGCTGGGGATTCTTTCTCTGCTGGGTGGGGGCTTGGGAATAACTGGGGTCAAAACCATGTGGGAGGCCGGAGCCATCTTAGGCTAGTCAGCTCCTAGTCTGAGAGGGGCTTTCCTGCCAACACAGAAGCCTCTGAGGAAGTTCAGAGATCCAAGTCCCAGCTGCTCTGTCACTTGGGCAATCTGAAGAAGTAATTCCAAGGGCCAAGCTGTGATATCACCGAGAGATTGGGGGTCCCTGGAACTCTATGGTGAAGTCTGAAGAGTTTCCTACTGAACATGCCCAAGCTAGACTACCCTCCCCCACCCCTGCCCAGCTCAGTAGATCTGGATCTATCTACCTGCAGATAAACAGTGCTGCCCACACATGAGAAAACAAATGCGTGTAGGCTTGGGGCCCCCACCATGGCCCTGAACACCAGCTACTTTTCCAGAAGCAGCAGGTGAGGGAGGAAGGAAGGGGAATGGAAAGAAGGCAGACCCTAGGATGCAAAGGATGCGGGAATAAAGTTTCAGGGAATAAAGTTTCAGGGAGGGTCCCAGGGGTTCTACTTGATTACAAACAACAAAATGCTAAGAGTCATTTCTCTGCCACTAAAATCCCATTCATAGCACAGATCAACACATTTGACCCCAAACAGATCTATTAGTGGGGCTGCTATCGCTCTGGATGGTGGTCTACCTCAGACACCTAGCAGTGAATGAGTTCCTGTGTGGTGCCAGGGCCCTGCAGCAGATGCAATACGGATACTCATAGCCATGGGGCTTTTTAAAGTAGCTAGGGAAGGGCCGGGGATTTAGCTCAGTGGTTCCAGCGCCTGCCTCAAAAGTGCAAGGTCCCGACTTCAATCCCCAGTACCAAAAAAAAAAAAAAAAGTAGCTAGGGATGTCTGAGAGGCTGAGGGAAAGATGTAAAGAGGTGGATGGGAGGCAATGAAGAGGATTCCATGACAGGTTCAGGAGTCCAAAGGTCAGCCCCAAGGCTGCCAGCTGCAAGTCTGAGCCACACTTACCACTGAGAAAGCGCTTCATGGCGTCACTGCTGGCCAGCTTCAAGGCTGTCTGACCCGAGTAGGTGGCCAGTGTGGGATCAGCCCCATACGACAGCAAGAGCCAGATGGTCTCCAGGTTGTCATTGACCACTGCATCATGAACTGGCCTGTGGAGGTGACACAGGGTGAGGACAACAGGGCCACAAGGGAACTGTGATGTTTAAGCTTTGGGCTCCGGTCAGGGAAAAAGAGACATAACTCCCGGTAACCTATTTCAGTAATGTGTGCTGAGACTTAGGGCAGGGAAGCACCTCTGGCCTGTAATCCCCCATACCATCTGTCCACCTTCTTTTCCTTTTTCTGGAGCCTTTTATTTATCCTCTCTCCCTCTCTCTCCCCCTCTCTCTTTCCCTCCCTCTCATTCCCCTAACATCTTGGGACAGTCCCTAAGGTACAATGCAGCTCTACTGGTAGTTCTACACTTTAGCAGAAAACAAGACACTGATGGAGGTCAAAGTTAAAGCAATACAGGGAGCAAGAATGGAAGGATCCAGGTGACTGCCAGAGAGCAGGGATGGACAGAGTGGGGCTTCACACACCAGTTGCCAGGTGTAGCCTGGCCTTTTGGTCTGCGTCCTCCTACTTGGTACATAACTCATGTCTATTCTGCCCAGGAAGTAGGTCCTCTGGCAGAATAAAGGAGAGCGGGTAAATTTAAGACACAGCAGGTGTGTGTGTGTGTGTGTGTGTGTGTGTGTGTATATATATATATATATTTTTTTTTTGGTACCAGGGATCGAACTTGGGACCTTGTGCTTGCGAGGCAGGCAGTGGAACCACTGAGCTAAATCCCCAGCAGCAGGTATATTTTTTTAAGTGCATGGGGATCAAATTAGAATAATCAAGTCTGTAATGTTACCCTAAGGTCAGCTTTCCAGTTAGTTCCTAAGGCCCTACACTCCTCCCAAGACAGGTGCCTCCCCCAGGAATATATGAAGGAAGGCTGAGAAGTCTTCCTGGCGACAACTGCATGGGATGGGATGAGCCCTGGATAACCTCAGCCTGCCCTTAATAACCAGGGTAGACTGGCCACCCAAGGACTCATCAGCTCCTGCCCTCAACTGGTTACCTCTACAGTGTACAGAACTGGCCTCCCAGCAGCTCGCAACTTCGTGTGCTGCAAAGGTTGGGGCTGGGGCAAGTTATTTTCAGTGAGGGGCTGGGCTGGATGCTGGGGTGCTTGCCTCGTGCCATCCTGCGCACTGCAGTTCACATTGGCTCCATGCTGCAGGAGGATGTTCAGGATATCGGTCCATCCGCGAGAACAGGCCTCATGCAGGGCTGTGTAGCCAGCATTATCGCGGTGATTCACATCCTCACTATCCTTCTGGAGGCAGTACAGAACAACGTCCTGTGGGGACAGGGGCAGCTCCGTGAGCAGAGAGGTCTAATTCTTAGGATCATCTCAGTTAGACTCGAAGCCCCCAAGGGTCAGGGAGCCTCAGAGCCAGCCCTTTATACCAGGGACTGACTGATGTGTCTCAAAATCTTTTGTGAACAAAGTTAGTCCTGAGCTGCCATTGCCAGCTCTAGGCAGTTTCTTTGGCAGTGGGGAGACATTTCTTATGGCCAAGAACACTCATTTGGGTGGTTGTTGTTGGGGTGCAGTCCCCAGAGAAGTTCCCCTGCCACCCAGAGCTTACATGCCCAGACCTGGACTCCTGCAGCTAGGCCCAGGCACATGTGGTGGCGAGCGCAGCTTCTGGTGGTAATTCAAGAACAAGGAAGAAAGAATTGTTTTAAGTACTATCCCTGGATACTGGCCTCAGCAGGCAGGGCAGGGACTGGTCATCACTGTCTGTCCAGGTGTCCCTTGGCAGCCATGCAGACACCCACACTATGCATTCAAAAAAGATGGATTGCTTGACGGGAATGCGCTCTCAAGTCAGCTCCCCTGTGCTGACCAGCCTGGTTGAGAGTGGCTGTTTGAGTCACTGAGAGCCTTTTAAAAAAATCAACTGTATACTCTATAAGCAAGCAACTCCATTGCTAGGAGCAAATCCTAGGACATCATCAGGGTGGGGACCAAGGTACACAGTCAGGGGAGCACTTATCAACAAAAAGGGGGAGATGACAAAAACGTGTGACAATATAATTTAACCACAGTGAACGCAGTTTTTCACCTCTACCCTGGCACTCAGGAATCAAAATATATTTGAATACTGACATATATATTTGAATATAGATGTATATATTTGTAGTACTGAGTGATCTTGGACACACCATTTAACATTGTTAAGCCTTCATTTTCTCATCTGTGAAATGGGCCTAATTAAATCTACCTCCACAGGCTTACTGTAATCCAAGCTCTAACATGTCAAAAGGGGTGCCCAATAAATGCCAGTGGTCTCTCCTGCCTTTTTTCCAATGTATAAGGAAGTAGTACAGGTGGGGTTGGCTCAGCTTTGCCCTTTGAACCTGCTCCTGTTCCCTATACCAGAAGCCAACATGAGGGGAAGCTGCAGGAGGAGATGAAGGGTGAGCAACAACATTCACCCCTTGTTCTTCTCTGAGTGGGGAGCTACCACATTGGGAAATTTAACAGTCACTGAAAATCCCCAAATCCTCCTCCTGGCTTAGGAATGCAGTGGATGATGCTGCCACCATTTCAACTGCACTGATCCCAAACTGATGATATTCAAATGGGCTTGCATTCCCAGACCCTGAGATCAGACAGGGGCTAGGCAGCCCTAGAGGCCATGCGGGAGTAGTGGAAGGAGGCCAGCCTGGACTCAAGCCCTAGAGGAGCCAAGGCAAGAAGCTCCTCTACCAGCCTAGGCTAGTGTCATCCTGTGAACACCCACTTAGGGAGCTCACTCACCTTATAGCCCAGGCGTGCCGCCCGCTGCAAGAGGGTCTCACCGGCATTTTTGTTCACTATGAGTCGCCGTGCTTCTGGGGGGATTTGCCGGGCTGTAGGTGACTCCGAGGCCTCCTCTGGGCCGGCACTTCGGGACTTAGAAGGTGTACATGGTTCTGTGAACTTTGCAGGGGTGGGGGATTTGGAAGACCGTGTCTTCTGCTGGCTCCAACGGCCTTTGCCCTGGAAAGCAGATGCAGGGCTAGGTCAGGCCAGGTAACATGTCCCATCCATCATCACAACACTTGGCTGCCAGGGCCATTTCACCTCCTCTGTGCCCATGTGGTGATTTGCTGACAGTACCCCAAGTGGCTCAGAACACTGTCAGCTTTAAGGCTAGAGGCTGGGCTGGTCACTAGCCATGTATAATATTTCCAGGATCCACCTGGGGTGGGGGGGATCCAAAAAGCATCAGATCCTCAGCCCATAAACCACAGAATGATGAAGGGTTTGGAAACCAGAGGTGGAGGGGACATCCCAGCTCCCCCATGCACTGGGTATGCCTTCTCTACCTGCCTCAATCCCTGTTTACTGAGGTTTGGATAAGCCATACCTGCAAGCAATAATGGCAAAGAGAAGCAGAAATAGCTGTCTTTGACTAAAGTCACATGTCCTAATGCCTTCACTCTTGCTTCAAAACCTCCCCTGCCAATCAACCTCACAGGCCCTTCCTATCTTTTGCCACACCTGTCCCCAGATCATACTCAGGCACATCTTGGATGGTGAAAGGAGCTGAGGATTGGGAACCAGATAGGCTGGGTTTGAGGCTTGTCTCTGCTATCCATCAGCCATGAGAGCCAGGGCCCAGCCCAATAACCCCCAAACCTCCCTCTGTCCCTTGCAGGGCCTTTGAGATAATGCAACGCTGCAAAGGCTGCAGAACAATGAACAGGCAGGTGCTCACAGAATGGCAGGAGAGTCCTGCTCTCATGAGTGATCACTGGGTGCCTCCCTTGTCCTCCATGTCGAGCTGGAATGTCTACAGTGGATTCCCATGCCAGTCCTACTGCATATTGGGTCCATGGGGGCAGGAAACTTGTCTCTAATTCAAGGGGCTTCGATTAGCAGGACTGTGAATGAAAAGCTGCACTCCAGGAACCAAATGGAAGAGCCTCATGTGCACCTGACCTAATAAGTTAGATGACACAATTCTAAACTTGGGGCTGGTACCATAATTGGGTGAGAGTTTGGGGGTCTTGGGAGGGGTGAGTATACTTTACATGTGGAAGGGACGTGAATCACTGGAAGCCAGAGAATAATCTCCAAGATGGCTCCTGAGGATCCCATATCCCTTTATTTGTGCTCTTGGGTAGCCCCTTCCAACATGGGACAGTGCTGACCTATATAACATACCTAAGCGGAGACTGCAGAAGTGACAGTATGTGACTTCCAAAGCCAGGTCCTAAAAGACATTGTGGCTTCTGCTTTGTTGTCTTTTGCATCACTTGCTGTGGGGAAGGGCAGCCGCCCCATGTCATGAGGACACTTACGTAGCTCTCTGAGGAGTTCCGTGGGGTGAGGAAAGGAGGCTGCCCAGAGCCAGCAAACTCACCAGCCATGTGAGCGAGCTATCCTGGACACAGATCTTCTGGTCCCAGTCAAGTCTTTGAAGGAATGCAGCCCTGGCTGACACCTGGACTGCAACCTCATGAGAGACCCCAAGCTGGACTAATACACTACTCTTGAATTCCTGAGCCCCAGAAACTGGGAGACAATATATGCTTATTACAGTCAGCTACTATGTTCTAGAGTGATTTGCTGTCCAACTGAGCCTTCCATCTATATATGCATACATACACACACATCCCACAGGGCATCAAGATCTCACTTAAAGCCCATGGCTTCTACACTATTCTACCACCCTCTTCCTCTGCATATCCACAGCACCCACTCTGACTCATATTAGTCTGATGCATAAGGCCTCACTTTCTTCTTTCCTTCCAGTGTTCCATGGCTAAGGGTAAGTCTCGACTCCCCTGCTAGGTTTTTGTTTTAATTTTTTTGTTGTTTTGCTTTTTGTTTTAAATTTTTTTTGAGACAAAGAATCACTGCATTGCCCAGGTTGCCCTCCAGTTCCTGAGCTCAGGGAACGCTTAGTCTTAGCCTCTGCACCTGGCTCCTGTGCTAGGTCTTAAGCTCTTTGGATTCAAATTGTTCATATTGTTACTTTCTCTTCCAGGCTCAGGGCTGGGCACACTATCACAACAAATACGTGGTGACTTTATTCAAGCCAGTCATGTGCAGAGTCATTGGCGGCCTGAAAAGTTACCTAGAAAGTTATCAAGTCGGGAAAAAAAAAACCCAGCAGAAAAAAGATGAGGGCCCAGAGTATTTGTTTCCTCCAAAAACTCGCAAGGTCACAAGGTGCCAACATTAGTCCCTATCCCTAGGGCAGAGATACAGTCCCTAGCAGGAAGACACTGTCTGTGAAGGGATAATGCTGCTGTATAGCCAGGAGGATGGGGCATACAATGGCAGGACTGGAGGATGCTAGGTAAAATACTCAAGTTTTCTCTAAGCCAAGTCAGGAGTCAAAGGGTGACTTTCTTTATAGGGGCCAGCGCTGCCAGGGCACAGCAAGGGAGGCTGCCTCAGAGAGGGAGGAGCAAGAATAAATACGGGGAGCCCTCCCCCTCCCTTCCGCCTGGCTCTGAGCCCCTGCGGGAAGAAGCCCTTGGCCAATGCCCCACTTCAGTGTTGCAGGATGGCCCCCCGCCCTCCCCCCGCCTTGCCTCCCACTACAAAGCCCCGTGCCATGGGGGCAACTGGAGCAGGTGGTGGAGACTGGAAGAGAAAGAAAGGCAGGAGGGAAAAAGGGAGGCCCTGGGGAGGGACAAAACCCTCTCCTGGAGAACACTGCAGCGGACACACTGCCAGGCAGAACAAGACAGAAGCACTGGAGTGTCCTGCTGAATGCCAGGCAGCTGGTTACCTTTGTATGGAACAGGACCATGGGAGTGTCTGGGGCAGAGCAGGGGGAAGGGCAGGGGGCAGTAGGAGCCTGGAAACCCCACCTTTTGGCAGAGCTGCCAGGGTTGCAGTGTTTCCTGCTCAACCACCCCCTCCCCCAGTACCTCCAGGATCCAGACAGAAGCCACCCATTCAGAGCCTGTGAGGCACATGGAACTGCGCCCCAGAGGCAGAGAAGCCTGATTCACACTTCCCTACTCCGGCACTTAGGGCCACTCAGTGATCTCACACAGGTCCCTCACCTCCCTGAGCCTCAGTTTCCTCACAGTAAATAAAGGTTAATAAAGGTGCCTACCTAAAAGAGCCACTGCAGGAATTAAAAGCAAAAATATGAACAAAGCCCTTAGCACAGACCAGGGTTCCCTGTCTTTCTCCCATTCTGGGGACAGAGGGAATGGATGCCACATATACCATGCCACACCGTGCCTCCGTCCCCTCATTCCTGCCACTGTCTGAAGTATGAGGATGTGCACCAGCCCTCAGAGGACAGCACTTACCCTAATACAATGTAGAACCTAACATGGATACCACGAACATCAGACACAAATGAGATGTAGATTTTCAAGCAGGGCGCTACAATGCTGACCTGGCTGATTGGTAAGTGGCCACTCTCTGACTCCTAGGCTCCGGGATGCAAAGGAACAGGAAATGAGGGTGGGCTGGGGTGCTACAACCTGGGCCCAAGTGGAATTTCTTCAGCCAGCCCTTCCCTCAAGCAACCTTTGTCTAGACATCAAAATCCCGACTTCTACAAGTTGTTTTGTACCTTGACTGACTCAGAAAGCTCCATGCTTGGTTTCCAGTGAGTTAAGCCCAGACAAAAGCTTCTTGATCAGATGTTAACAAACTTATTCAGGCTAATATCCTGTCATATTCTTTAATTCTTCCTTAACTCAGAGGAGACTCAAGGATCATAGAGGAAAAGCCATCACGGGGCAAACCTTACAGCCAGCTGTACCTTTAGTTTCCATTCTTCAAATGCTATTCCCAACCCTTCTCGAACTAGTTTGGAAGACTTTAATGCTCGTGGGTTAATCTGATCCATACACTCCCTCCCTGCCACTCTCCCTGTCTTCTCTTGCCCACTCTGTCCCATGTCCGGCTCCCCTTGGTGGCCATGTACCTTTGCCTCTTCTGAGACGTTTGACATGTGCTTGGTCTTGCACTTTCGTTTTCCTGATGGCTTTTCAGGATTTTCAAGGCAGGCTGGCTCTTCCAGGTTGTTTGGAAGGAAACCATTTGGTGACTCCGAAATCCCCTGGGCTTTGCTGGGCAAGAGAAGGTTCCTGTTCCTGAGGCGGTGCTCCGAACTTTGGGAGGAAGTCTTCTGCTTACGGGCCTTTAGATCTGAGCAAGAGACAAGAAAGAATGGGTGTCACAGAAGTGGAACACTAAAAAAGCAACACCATCCCCTAAGATGAATCAGAGAAATTTGGGGATTTGAATTGCAGTGCGAAGCTGTGTAACTATCGGCTAGCAGCATGCAGCGCAGCAGTGTTGACTCTTCCACTCAATGCTTCCTGAATGGACACAAGTCCCTCCTCTGCAAGCAGGAGATAGCTCCCAGCCCTGCCAGCAGGGGGCAGCCCATCTACCTGTCCCTAAGATGGGGGCAATTCTTAAAAGATTTTCCCCTAGCTGAGAGCAAATCAGAACTTTTTTAACCGTTTCTTCATCCCCTTTGTCTCCAATATGAAAACAAATTTAGTAGCCATGCTAAAGTATCAAGTACACTGGGGCAGAGAGTACCTGATATTGAAGGCTGCTTTTATGGCTCCAGTTCTACCCACCTGACTGTCCCTGTCACTGTCTGAGGACACCACGATCAAAGTAACAGAACCTCCCCAAGATGAGAAGGTGCCATGGGCCAAATGTGCTGGTGGGCGATGGCAGAAACCTGCCACCTCCCCTGGTTGAAATTCAAGTCAGTGTTCTCACTGGAACACACAGGCAGCATCTCTGATTCTAGCTACAGGTCACTGAAAAAAATTTTAAAAGATCTACTGGGAACTCCGCTAGCAAGTGCCTCATCCCACAGAGTCTGGCCTAAACCCCATGTGTAAGGGTGACAGACTGCTTGCCCTGATCTCTTAACATTGGTACTATATGGCTTGGCCACTGTGTGATTAGACAAAAACAAGCCATAATCTCTCTGAGCCTCAGTTTCAGTATCTATAAATAGGGAGAATATACACTCCATGAGTGGTAGGAGAATTAAATGAGTTTAACATGTGCAAAACCTTTTATCAAGTTACAAAGAGTAAGGCATCATTATTGTGTTACTCAAGTGCAAACTCTTGAGGGAAGGCCATGGCTGTGTACTGTCTGCCCACGGGACTGGACACCAGGCCTAGCACATGGTAAAAGATCAGTATGTCTGTGAAATGAATTAACTGCAGCCTCAGTTTCTCCATTTGAAATGAAGTCACTGAGATCCGAGAGTTCTCACCTCATCTCCCCTGACCATGACATGGACTCTGTGTGTGACATTACCAAGGGCAGATCTAGATATAAAAGTCACCCATCTAGTATGAGCAACTGGCTGTAGCTTATGCACAGCCATTGAGAAGCTGGCTATCATACCATCCATTTTCCCAAGCTAGCCCCAGCCCACTAGTAGGTCCCCACAACCTGCTCAGAATTGCTGTGCTAGATGGTCTCTAACTGCAGGTCCAGCCAGAACATTCTAAAGCTGGCCTTCTGATGCAACAAGTCTGGGCTGTGGTAAAAGAGGAAGGAACAGAACTATGCCTTGCAAGGACCTCAGGAAGCATGGAGAAGCCACATTATAGCATCCACTGCCACAGGAAAAACTGCCTTGCACCCTATTTATCCAGGGAAGGACAGGCTCTGGAGTTGCAGAGGAACAAGGGTTTTAGAGTAGGAACAGGGAGTAGAGGTAACAGGTGTGGGAGTAGAAGTGGCTCTTCCTAACCTCTCCTCAAGTCAAGAAGGAACCCAGCTAAGCCCAGGATGAAAGGAAAGGTCATGGAAGAAGTGAAGACAGGAAGAAGGTGACCCGCCTAGTTTGGCTGTTGCCTGCTTCTCTGTTGACCTGAGAGACAGTAGTAGCAGGAGAGATTGGCCCTTGCTGAGGAGAGAGATATTTGTCAGGCAATTCCTGCATGAAGATGTCATCTCTGTGGGAAGGTGATGAGACCACATGCCAAAGCCAGCTGCCTCAATGCAAAACCCTTAGACACATCTACGGAGGGAGAATGGCCTACTTTCCAACAATTGAACCTGCCCCCAAGTCCGACAGGATGTCCTGGTCACTGTTATTCTCCATGCTACTGCTGGCACTCAGGTGATTCTAGCTAGCTCTCTGTCACAAATGTAGTGGAGATCTCTCTCTCTGTCTACATAGGTGGCAACTGGACCAGGCCACGTCAAAGGTCCTTCTGGTTCCAAGGCCCAACAGCTCCCTGAGGAGCTTCCAAGCTATGCAACCAGCCCTTACTAGAGAAAATCTGCTGATACAAAATCTCCTCTTCATCCTAAGTGACTGGGGCCAATGGTTTGACACCTCATTCACAACTAATCCACTATGATTCTGGCAAAAGAAAGGAAAAATTGTCCCCACTCACTCACACAGTTGAAGAAAATTAGCTCAATTACTCTCTTGAGCATAAAGACAGTTATATATATCTTCACTGAAACAGAGCCGGAAATGAGGTTAAGCCTTCTTTGCATTATAGCAAACCAAGAATCTATTACCCACTCGACGTGAGTTTATTCTGTTTTAGCTAACAAAGGGACCACAGATGTTTATCAGCAACTCAGCGTGAACACAATATAGGAGATGATCAATTATCACTCCAAGGGTACAGGTTAGAGAATGAGAGGAAGAGGCAGAAGTGTTATGGAACCCAGAGATGTGCTTTTTGCTCAGTGAGAAATCCACTACAGAAATGGGCCTGAGCAGTATTTAGTGGAGAATATCGACATTAGCCTCTTGTGACGGTCTGTGACCATGTTTTATAGCAGTTGATGCGGCCAAAGAATGCCTGGTTTTGTCTTCGGGCTATCTGCTTTCCCAATTGAGATCCAACAGAAAAGATGCCACCTTGGGTCACCTCAAAGCTTCACTCCACCTCTGGATAACCTTTATGGCTTTATCTGAGACAACAAAGTTGTGGCTGCTTTTACTTGAAGTTCTTCCGTTGGTTTGAGGGAACCACTGTACTTCTTTTTAGTTTAGGGACTGAGGGCATCCCATGAAAGGCAGCCGATACCCTCTTTCTTCTTGAACCCAAGATTCTAGGAGAGAGAATCTATCCTCACCAGACCCAACTCCCTCAAGCCAACCAGAAAACTCCCTGGTACGGCAGTGGTACACGCCAAGGATGTCACTGTGACCAGACCAATGGGTTCAGACGTCTGTAAGAAAGCAGGAGGCTTAGGCCTTTGTATCCTCAGCTCACCTGTAGGCCAGTCCAAATTCCTTCCATCTCAACATAAAGCCAAAAGCTTGGGGCTGGAGTTGTGTGACCTCCTCTGGTAGCTGGAGGTCAGAGCACCAGGATTCTATGGGTCCAGAGGCCTTTGGCTGGTGTAGAGCAGACAGAGCTGTGACCACCATGATGCCCAAGAGAGGGGCTGTGGGGACAGCAGCACCCTGGCCAGCCTTACCTGCTCTCCCTTTCCTCCGCTGCTCTTCTTCTTGCTCTGTCAGGTACTCCCCAGTCTGATATTTTCGGCTCTTCTGCCGTCTCCGTTTCTTCCTCTTCACCAGGCCCTCCTCCTCATCTTCCTCCTCCTCTTCATTGGTATCCCACATTTGCCGGGCGGCCTCTGTCCTCCAGGGCATCTCTCGGGCTCGCCACAGATGTCTGCGGCCCTGGCTCAGCAGAGTCTTGTCTTGGGCATGATGGCTGCGATACTGAGTGTCCCGCTGGGTCTTTCTCACCTTTCGACGCTTAGCTGGGGTGGGGGTCACCTCCTCCTCTTCTTCTGTGGGGAAGACTTCCTGGCTTCCCATGTCACTGTCTGCCACACCAGCAAAGGAGCTACAGATGCTTCCTGTGGATGGGACGTACAGAGGACGGTCAGGTACCTCTTCAAAGAACTAAGTATGGTGTTGGCATGAGTGCCCTGGACTAGGAGTCTGAAGGTCTGGGTTCAAGTTCAGGCTGTGCCAGTTATTAGTTGTATACTTTAGGAACGTTCTTTCACTTCTGTGTCCTCTTCTATAAAACGGGGGTACCGTTCTCTCCTCACTGACTTCACCAGAGCTGTTCTGGGTCTTAAATGAGCTCCTTCGCCCATAAGTGCTTTTCATAGTCTGATATATGGATATATACCAACTTTCAAGAATTGAAAACACACATCCTTGGCCGGGGATTTAGCTCAGTGGCGCCGCGCCTGCCTTGTAAGCACAAGGTACTGAGTTCAATCCCTGGTACCGGAAAAAAACAACAAAACACACACACACACCCTTATTCATCTATGGTGTCATGGCGCTTGGATCCATTTCACAAATTCTTGCTTAGCACTTACAAGGTACCAAAAATGTGTGAGCAGCAAGAGAGAGCCACAGGTCTCTGTGCTTGGGAAATGACGGCTAAGAAGAGGGTGAGGGAGGACAGCCTGGCAGCCCTCCCCAGCTCCTGCTCACTCTGCAGCCTCACCGATCTCGCTGAGAAGCACAGCCACCACGAAAGAAGAGTCCATGAATAGTGAAGCAGAGTCCCTTTCCCATGACAGGCAGGGCTCAGTGACGCCCAAATGCAATACAGCAGGCCCTCTTCCCTTAATCTGACCCCACCTCCTGCTGAGCTGCCAAGAGTTCCAGGGAGGAGGTCTCTCCCTGGCCCCTCCCCCAATGCCACTGCAGTTGTTCCTCACCACTGGGCAGGCACTTCCCCCTCCACTCCTGACCACCTCAGGAAGATGGCACCTTTCCTGTCCTCCTGGGCCACCTTGCCAAGAGGTCATTTTTCCCCCGACTCTTTCCTTCAACTGTGCTAACAACAAAAGTACAATCCAAAATTGGCCTGGTTTCACACTACAGGAGATCTGACACCTTCCTTGGAAGCAGCTGTGAGACACTACCATCTTTCTCCCGAGGCCTGGCTGTTAACTCAACAATCCTCAGATCTTAGCAAGGTCAGTAGCAGAAAGACATGGGTTAGGGCAAACAGAATTGCCCTTGATCAAAGCTTCAAGTTGGTCAGACCATTTAAAGACAGCAACTATCCAGTAAACTTGCTATTGTGTGGACCAGGCAGGGAATGAAGTGTTCTGGTTGATCTAATATTCTACTTAATGCACAATCACCATAGAGATCACACAGGGATCACCGCTTTCCAAAGAATCAAATACAGTACAATGTGTTTAACGTGAAAATGGGGCTGGGTGTGATGTAATCACTCTTTGATGATTCAGAAGACACTTCAGGATTTTGTAAGGTCCCCAGGCCATCAATCATCATGAGGCCCAATTACCATTGTGCTGGCCATGTGCTGAGGTGCCAGTTAAGAGAATGTCAGATTGAGTTCCCATTATGCCCCATGTCCCCATTCCATCCAATTTGCATGGAAATCCAGGTGAAGCAGGGAAACCTTCTCCAGCCACCTGTACCAACATAAAATCAGCAAAGGAGTGGAGGCTGGAAAGGACTAAATGTTCTAGACCCCTGGGATTGACTGATACATTTCAGGATGCCAAAAGTGAGTCTGCCAGCCCTGACAACATAGTGGTTTTCCCAATATTGATGATGCCTGCCACAAAGAGCAGTAAGACCAAGGCCCAGAGGTTAAATGTCTGTGCCTTACATGGGTCCCAGTGATCACGAGATGCCCATTCTTAGAGGAGAACCAGCTTTCTTGAGTGGCATAGTCTTTCCACCATCAGCTCCCAACAAGAGATGTCAGGTTTCTGCTCCAAAAAGCTAAGCAAATAGTCCTAAAACCATGGGCAATGGGCAATGCCCCTGCCCAGGGCTCTTTTGTCTCTGCACAGAGCCTTGGCACAAGGAAGCAAATTCCCAATTCTCCACCTGGGCCAACAGCAATATTATTCAACCAGATGTTGTCCCCTTTTTATAAAGGTACGAGGATGGGCTATGGCCTTGGTCTCACTCACCAGACTGACTGCGTGTCCGGGTGCTCAGAACCACTGGGATGAAGTCACGGAAACTGCTCTTTGCTTTCTTTTCCAAGGAACCTGTATGCATAGTTTCAGGGCAGAAGGCAGAAATATCACAACCAGCGTCTAAAAAAAAAAAAAATGGGAAAGGTCACCTGAGAGGATCAGGTAGAATAATCATGGAGAGTTTATTTATTTGTTTGCTTTTGAGACAGAGTCTCACTATGTAGTCTAAACTGCCCTTAAACTCATGGGAGCCTCAGGGTCCCAAGTGCTAGGATTACAGGCATGTGCCATCATGCCCAACTCTGAGGGTTCATACTGACTCTACAGTCACCCTGGGTTACCCCATCCACTCACCTTATGCTGCTATCATATAGTATCTCCTTTAGGGAATAAGTGCATCCTGTTCGGTTTTGGGGGTGGTTCTTTGGTCTTGTTTCTTGAGGCAGGGTCTCACTATGTAGTTCAGGCTGGCCTTGAATACACTGTAGCCCAGGCTGGCCTCGAACTCATGGTGATCTCAAGTACTGGGATTACAGGCGTGTACCATCACACCCAGCTGTCCTGTTGTTCTTTGTTTTGTTTTTGAGACAGTCTCACTATGTAGTTCAGGCTAGTCTTGAACTCCTTATGTAGCCCAGGATGGCCTCAAATTCTCAGTGATCTTCCCGCCTCAGCCTCCTGAGTGCTGGGATTATAGGTGTGTGCCACCACACCCAGCTGTCCTGGTTTTTTTTTTTTTTTTTTTTTGGTATGGAGATGGAACTCAGGACCTTGTGCTTGCAAGGCAGGCGGTGGCACCACTGAGCTAAATCCCTGGCCCTGTCCTGTTGGTTTTTGAAAACTGGGAGTTGGATCATTTTCACTGACACCAAAAAAGGGAACACAGAATCAATCAGACACCGTGCCAGAAAGTAGAAGACCTGGCTACCTGCATGACTCAGAGGCTGCTGTACCTCCATGAAGTTATAACTCGGCTGGAGCACATCCCAGAGGAGGCAGCCTTGATGAATCCTAGTGAGGTGGGAAGATGGGAGCAGGGAACATTGAATACAGGAAAACTACTACCTGAGAGCAGACTAGAAGAAGCAGGTCATGTCAGAGGGGCAAGCCCATGGACAGGGACCACGCCATCAGGAATGCCTGACCTTCTCTCCCTGATGAGGACACAAGAGGGACCATCTATGGCAGAGCACACATCCCAAATATCCTGTGGGTCCCTAAATGATGAGGGTTTAGGATATCTCCAAAGCCTTCATCCTAGCTAACTAGCGATTTCTTTTTGAAATGGAAGTTTTCCAGTATATTCAAAAGTAGAGAAAATAGTATAATGAACCCTCATTCTGCTGTTGTTGTCTAATTCCTCCTACACCTGTTTCTTCTTTGAGCCTAGACCCACTGCAGGGAATGGGCTGGCTACTCTGCTGTAGGAATGCCATCTGCTGGTGTGTGAGCCCCTCCTCTGGCCTTCAAAATGTGCTGTATGCTAGTGCGCTGGGCAGAACATGCCTCTGCTCCCTCCTCCCTTGTCTTTGATTTCAGAGGTGTCAACTATTAGGGAAGAGAAAGGAGATGAAGGAGGGGCAGGGAAGGGGGAGAGAAGGGGAAGGGGTGTAATGGGAGACGGATATGAACAAAGCATGTTATATACATGTATGAAAATGCCACAATGAGGGCCGGGGATTTAACTCAGTGGTGCCACCGCTTGCCTCGCAAGCACAAGGTCCCAAGTTCGATCCTGGGTACCAAAAAAAAGAAAATGCCACAATAAAACCCACTACTCAGTATAATTAATGCCCTTTAGGAAAACCAGAAGTGTCAATTCTATCTCCCTTCCAGAGTGAAGAAGGTTCACTTTTCCAGTCTCAGTCCTACCCACACCAGCATGCCACAGGGACCTCTCTACAGCCCAGCCTGGAGGGCCAGGGCCTCAGGGACCTACCTTCCTCATGGCCATCGGCTCGTTTTCCTGGAGACTGGGACTCCGGCTTTGTTGGCTTCCGGTGCTTGTGCTTTCCCCTGACTCCATTGTGCTCTTTTCCTGAATCTGAAGTGCCCCTGGGGCTTTTCTTGGTTGGTTCCTGGGGGTCGCCGGGTGGCTTCCGGCACTGTGGAAAGGTATAGAGAGTCAGGTCTGATGTCAGTTTTGGTTCTTGAGAAAGCTCCCAGAGTTGAGCCATATGCCTGTTTCTGACACATGGACACAAAGTGCCCAGGCTGGGGACCAAGAGGGCAGGGGCCCCAGTGGGCTACAGAGGCCCCCCTGGAGTGAGCCAGGGCCCTTGCTGGTCCCCGTAGGAATCAACACCCCATCACGTTGAAAAGGTCTACAGAATCTGAATTCACAAACCACTGAACACATACCCAAAGTCATTTGAAAAGGTGCAGGACAGACATGGTAGCGCATGCCTGTGATCCCAGTACTTGGGAGGCTTAGGCAGGAGGACTGCCATGAGTTCGAGGCCTGACTGGGCTACAGAGGGAGTTCAAGGCCAGCCAGAACTACATAGCAAAACCCGGTCTCAAGAAAAATAAATAGGGCCGGGGATTTAGCTCAGTCCTGCCTCGCAAGTACAAGGTTCCAAGTTCAATTCCTGGTACCAAAAAAAATAAAAATAAAAAAATGTTTAAAAATAAAAATAAAATAAAATAAAAGGTCCAAAGTCAGGCCCCATTCTTTCTATACCCAAACACCAGTGGACAGATGGGCATGAAACAAAAATGCCTCTTCTGGGGCTGGGGATTTAGCTCAGTGGTTCCGCCGCCTGCCTCGTAAGTGCAAGGACCCGTGTTCCATCCCTGGTACCAAAAAAATAAAATAAAAATGCCTCTTCTGCCAGCTGGGTGACTGCATTGTTTAAATAACTTCATTGTGAATGGTACAGACACCAACAACTGAAAATAATTCTCAGTTTGGGCCAGGTCAAGAAAAACTGTCTATTTTGATGTGTAAATTAATACCAGAAAACAGATTTAACTAAGGCAAGCAGAAAACAACACAGGGGTAATTCCCATCTCCCCATATTTATGAAACACAATAAAAAGGTCCAGGAATGGTTAATACCACCACCCCATACTCTGCAACACTTTCAACTTCTCAAAAGTATCTCGTCTCTATTATCTGATTTTATCTTCCCAACAACCCCGAGAAGAGAAGCTAACATTATCCCACAGAACAGAGAGAAAACTGAGGCTCCAAGACAAAAGGCTGAATGACTTTTCCAGAGCAGCACATGGCCCAGTCTGGGTAGTCACTTAGGGGCTGCCATTTACCAGGCCACCCTACTAGTTAGCTCAGTTGCACGTGCAGCGAGGAAGCCCTGGAGCTGGCTGAAACCCCAGACCTCCCGCCACTGCCACCACTGCCCCTCTGTACCAACTCTCACTACTCTCCTTCCCCACTTGCATCCTCCGCTGCTTTTGTTTAGCTCCTTCCCGCCAACTGCCAGGGGCATCCCATCTTACGGCTGTGCTCACACACTTGGCTTACCAGTCACAGATTCTCAAATGCTTTGAGGGCCCTCTGTGCCACTAAACAAGAAAAGAGACAAGGTAGGGATTTCTAGCATCCTAGTATCCAGGGAGTATGGAATAAGCAAAACTTTTGAACAAAGAAAGCAGGTCTTAGAAGAAAAGGAAGAATTAAACCTGCTAGAGTTGTTTTTCTCCTAAAGCAGACCCACCTCACCTTCTAGAAAGTTAGTCACAGGCTAGATCCAGCTGAGGGGATAGCAGATATCTTGTGGCTAGACTGTTGAGGGGTCTCAATTCTCCAGCCACAGGGAGTCCCTATTACCAATCAGATTCCAAGAACTCCCCTATTCCATGAACTCGTCCTGTTTCTTATTCAGGAGAAGGCTGAGCTGAAATTCAAGTTCAGTTTCTCCTTTTGCTCGCTGCCAGTTCCTACGAATCAAGTGGCAGGAGAAGGAAAGAACTAGGGAGGAAAAAGGAAGATAGGAAACAGCTGCTTAAAATCTGACCTTCAGGTATGGTCAGAGAAAAACTATTTTAAATCAGGGGGGAACAAAGCTAAATGCACATAAATCTGAACATGTCTTATTTATTTCTGAATATCATTTTTAGCTGGCTGTTTCAATTATAGATCATTAACTTTAACTTCCTAAGACAGACAAAAACAAGTAAAACAGAACATCTGAAAAGGATTTCTGTCTTATCACCTACAAGGGCAGCGGTCAAAGTAAAAATATGTAGTGCACTCCAATTCACATGAAAAGTTTTGAGGATGGGGAGATTGTGTAAGATGAATGTTCTGGTTAACAGAGTTTTGCCTTGGGATTTAGCTCAGTGGTTCTGCCGCCTGCTCCGCAAGTGCAAGGTCCCGAGTTCAATCCCCAGTACAAAGAAACCAAACCAAACCAAACCAGAGTTTTAGGGCCAGGGATTTAGCTCAGTGGTTCCACTGCCTGCCTTGCAAGTGCAAGGTCCCGAGTGCCAAAAAAAAAAACCAAAAAAACCCAGAGTTTTGATGTATTTTCCAATGAATTTTCAAAAAGAACAAGAACACAATAAAATACACTCAGCATCAAATGAGGCACAATTTTCTGCTAGGTGTGGGAGCTTATGCCTGTAATTCTAGCTACTCAGGAGGCTGAAGCAGAAGGATCACAAATCTGAAGCCAGCCCAGGAAAGTTAGGGAGACCCTGTATCAAAATTTTAAAAGGGAAGGGGATGTATCTCAGAGTGAAGGCCCTAGGTTCAATCCCCAGTAACACAGATAGGTAGGTAGGTAGATGAATGAACAGGGATGTAGCTCAGTGTAAGGTCCTAGGTTCAATCCTCAATATTGCCAAGGTAAAGAAAAGAAAAGAAGAGAAAAGAAAAAGAGAAAAAGGACTGGGGATGTAGCTATGTAGTAGAGTGCTTGTCTAATACGTGTAAGGTCCTGGGTACAATTCCCAGTACCGGAAAAAAAAAAAAAGGTGGGTGGGGGGAGAAAAAGAAAACAACACAACCCTCTTTGCTGCTGATCCGGAAGGCCCCTTAGGGTTCTAAGAGACCTTGGGCAGGTGATACAGGTGACAGGAGAAAAAACGTTTTTCTCTGGCCAGACCTGAAGGAGCTGTTTTGAATTAACCCTGATCTTAGTTTGCTTTTCAAGAGTTTCTTCATCAGGAAGACAAAACATAACAAAAGAAAGAGCTAAGTTATTTGTGCTCCTGAAAAGTGGACATTTACTAGATCATCACAGGCAGTGGCAAAGGACTGCTTGCTGGACCCCTCATCCTGTAACTTTATTCTCTGCCCCCTGGATTGGTCTGTGAACTGTTCATCTCATAGAGAGGAAGGGATGGTGCCTGCCTGTCATTGAGTCATCAGAAAAACATAGGCTCTAGAAGGACAGGAGCCACATCTGTTGTAATATGAGTAATAAAAACAGCAGCCACTAACCTTAACTGAGCACTTAGTATTCGCCAGGTACTGTTTTAGGCACTTGGATATTACCTCATTTAAACTTAACAAAAGCTTTATTGAGACATGCCATTGAATTCACTTATTTATTTAAAGGTACGAGTGAATTCATGGAGTCACAGAGGTATACAACCATCACCAACTCCCCAGTTCTGGAACTAGAGTTTGAGTTCCAGCCGTGCCATTTAACAGCTGTATCACTTGGGTTATGTAGCCTTTTGGAGCCTGTCTCTTTCATTTGCTCACCTGTAAATTGGGTGTAACATTCACCTCATGGGATTATTCTATGAATTAAATCAGGCAACGTGTAGAAAACACTTCATGTAAGTAGGAGTTCAATGGTATAAGTTAGTATCACCAAGCAGACTGCAATTAACCTGACCAAAAGCCATAGCTCTACTATGTCATGTCTTAGGTCACTGAGGAAAACCTACCAAAACTTGATCCCAGGAGTTCTTAACCTGGAGTCTGTGGGTGAGCTTTCTGGAGGGAGGGAGGTCTGCAAAGCCCCTGCAATTATTGGCAACATTCTGAAGCCATGTTTCTGGGGACAAGTCCATCGGTCTCATCAACTTCTCAAAGACTTCTACAGTTCGTAAGTGACTAAGAATTTGTGCCACAAACAACTTAGTGGCCCTCATGCAGGAAATGTTCCTTAGCACATAGTAACATCCAATATGAAGTCCTGTCAACAGAACTTCAAATTGCTCTGCATATTCAATGAACCCTACCCTCAATATTTCCAGAATTTCCTTAGATCACCAATGGCCTTGGGAGGACCCATGGATTCAAGCTGAATGCTCCAGGCCCACCTTTTTGCTGAGGGCTCTGCTGCCATCCATAGCCTAGCATGGATCAAGACCCAGACACCTATCTGCCTTCTCCACCACACTGTCAATGTCTTCAAACACAAAGTTGCCACTCAAGCATGGAAAGGAAAGGAAATTGGTGGATTAGCCGGAAAGCCAACTGGCTCTGACCCCACAAGACTCCATGCGAATCATAAGCAGGGTTCCGCACTGTTACAAGGAATGAACCTGTCAAAGGCCCCTTTCCTCCCCAAGCTCCAGGTTCTCAAGGTCAGTAGTCAGTCATCTCCTTAAAAGTCAAGGAAGAGCGGCTATTCAGGGAAGAGGCTGTTCACTGATTTCCCTCACCTAACCTTCTGCTTTCCAATCTCATCTGGAACAATGGCTTCCCTAGCTCCAGGATGGAATTATTTTCTACAGCCTACAAAATACTAGCCAGCCTTAGCTGGGCATGGTGGTGCATGCCTGTAATCCCGGCACCTGGGCGGCTGAGACAGGAGGATCGCTTTGAGTTGGAGGCTAGCCTGGGCTACACAGTGAGCTCAAGGCCAGCCTGAATTACACAGTGAGACCCTGTCTCAAGCAAACAAACAAACAAAAAAGAAATATAAGCCAGCCCCACCCCAGACAAAAACATCATATATAGAGAATGTGATTTAGAAAGCAGTCAGCAGGTGCAGGTCACATTCACTTTACAAAAGCCTTCCTCCAATCTGGGCAGTTCACTCAGCCACTCAAGGATACTGTGCTCAGGGTAGGGCACCAACACAGTAGAGACCTGCAGAGTGAAGCAGACCAGCAGGGTCTCCGCCCCACCCTTCACCTGAGCTCAGGCACTGAGACTCACCTTGGAGCCCAGGGAACTCTGGACTGTGGGCTTGGCTTGTGGCAGCTGCTGCTGTTCCTCTCCTTCCTTCTCTTTGCCACACTTCATCTTCTTGGGTGGCGGAGATTCTGGCACTTCATCTGGCTGCCACTTGCTCTTGCAAGCAAAGACCCCGACACTTTCCCGTTTTACTTGAGCCTGCATGGTCTTAGCCCGTGCTTCGGCTTGGCCCCTCTGGGGAGCTGCTGGGAGTCCATCAGCCCGGAAGCAGGTGGCTAAATTGAAGACCACATCACCATCCACCTTCTCCATTTTCACCCGCCCCAGGTCCACCTGGCTTCCAAGCTGCGAAAGCTCTGTGCTGGAGCCCCTCTTGCTGCTCGGAACCACATCCAAGATGAGCTCCTGGGGGTGGCTGTCATGAGGTAGCAAAGGCAGCTCAGGCACCTTGCGCAGGTTCTGGGGGGTGGCCAGGACCAGCTCGTGGGACATGTAGGTAGCCAGCACTTGGTTCTTAGGCTTTGTGTCTCCTGCCAGTTTCAGGCTGCAAGCAGCCTGGGAGCCTTCCATCTTAGGAGTGCTATCAGAGCACAGGTGGCTCTCTGATTCCTCAGACCCCTGATTCACTCGGATGTCCCCACTGCTAGGCTGAACAGATAGCGCCAGAGTCCCTGTCTGAGGACTGAGAGTCAGGAGGACAGGGTTAACTTGTTCTTCATAAGGCTTGGCAGCAATCCGGCAAGTTTTGTTCTTTGTGACAGTGTCCTGCTCAGAAGTAAAGGGGCCCCCGGACCGTGGCTGCCCCTCAGTTAGTCCATGTACAGCTTCACTGGAACCAACAGATGGCACACCAGAAAACTCAGAAACAACGCTGGTGGGCCTGATGGGCACCCCCTGACTGGGGGTCAGCTGCCCGGCACTGGAAATGCCAATGGAAAGCAGAGACGTTTGGTGGTATGGTGACCAGCCAACAGGCAGGACCTGGGTGCTGGTGGGTTTCCCATTGACTGAACACCGTGGATAAATATTTGCTGGCCCTGTAGGTTTCCACAGAGAGAGCTCCTTGCTTTGGCACCCCGGCAGCCCGGGGGCAATACGGGCTGGGGTATAACGTGTTTTCACTGTGCTTGGCTGTCCCTCAGCACCGGACTGGCTGCCCTTCTTGCCACACGTGGCACCAGTGCTCTTAGGCTCTCCTTGATCAATGATGGAGATGGGCTCCTGCTTGGGGAGATGGCGGGGATCTCGGTTGAGGCCCAGGTTAGGATCCTTGTTCAGCAGCAGAGACGCAGGCACTGGGTTAGCCACTCCCACATAGGTGCCAGGAATGGTGCTGATGAGCGCAGTGGAGTTTTTCACCCAGGTGCTCGGGTCCCCATTCCTCACGATCTCGGGGAAGATGACGAAGGGTGAGGAAGTAGAACCCAGGCAGGAGGTGACGTTGCTGCCAGCAGCCTGGGTTGTGCGCTGAGACCTGGACAGGACTGTGGAGAGGAGGGCCTTGCTGCTGGTGTGCACAGGGGTCAACACGGGCATGGGAGGCGTTTTGCGCTGGTTCGGCAAAGGAAGCTTCTGGCGGTTGGACTTGGAAGAGAGGTCAAGGGGCATCTCGCTGCACTCGGGTGGAGAGGCCATCTCTCGCTCCAGCTGTGGAGGTGACTTGAGGGGAGAGAAGGTAACAGAAGCCCCTTCTGTTTGCTGCTCACCACCACCTGGCATCTTAGTGGGATGTGGTGGGGCAGAGCTCCCGCTGGGGGCTGGCAGCAAAGGCTGTGGAGTTGGAAGCACCTTGGCAGAAGCAGTGGTGAGGGAGGTATCTGCCAAAGGCCCGGGGACCCCTTCGGGGGCCGGCTGGGTGGTGGTGCTGCTGGACGGGGAAGTGCAGGGGAGCCTGTTCACCTCCAGAGACACCAGCTTGGAATCAGAAGTCAGAGGCCGGGCCACAGAAAATGCATATGGGTAAGACCGGAGCTCCGGGGATGCCAGCACGCCCGGGAGACACCTGTCCTGCAGGTAGGATGGCAGGACAGGAAGCGTAAGAGTGGAGGAGACCCCCAAGGTGGTTGGCAGTGTGGCCACACTGAGGGGCTGCCCACAGCTCGGAGGTGGAATATATACCAGTGGCTGGCTCGGGGTCAGCACTGTCCCTGGTTGAAAGGACAGGGGGACTTTTTGCATAGCTGGTGCCTGAGCTGCAGGAAAACACACTCGACTCAAACTGAAGGAGGCTGGTATGGGTGCCGAGGTGGGAACGGCAGTTGGTGTGGCAGCCGGCATGGGCGTAGGGGCCGGAGTAAAGATGGGGGCAGGGGTGGGGGCAGGCACTGGCGTAGGAGCAAAGGCAGGAATAAGGGTGGGGGTAGATGGTGGGCCAGAGGAGGGGGTTGGGGTGGGCATCGGCACAGACGGAGGGGCAGGAGCTGCTGGAGGTGTCGATGCCGGCATGGGAGCCAGGACCGGAGCGGGGACGGGAGCAAGGAGCAAGGTGGGCGCTGAAGGAGGCACGGGAGCCTGGATGAGAGCCAAGGGAGGTGCTGAAGCGGGGACAGAGAGAGGGGTAGGAGCGGGAGCCGGCAGGGGTACTGGGCCCGATGGGGGAGCGGATGCTGGCACAGGCACCAAGACCGAGGCTGACACGGAAAGGGGGTTCGAATCCGAGATGAGGGTGGGCACTGAGGGAGGTGCCGGAGCCAGAGCTGGAACTGGTGCTAGGGGAGAGGAAGGAGCTGAGACTGAAGTGGCAACTTGGACTGGAACCAGCCCAGAATGGGGCACCGGGGCTGGGACAGAAAGGGGAACCTGGAACGGATCAGGAACAGATGGGGGAACAGAGGCCGAACCGGGAGCAGGGGGACAGACAGGGGCTGGCAACGGACTGAAGTTAGTGGTAACCAGAGGCAAGGTCCCCTCCACGGGGACTCCCGTTCCCAGAGTAGCCAAAATGAAAGTGTTCTTGTCCCCAACACCGTGTCGAGAGTCCAAAGCCTTTACCCCAGGTGGTGAGCAGTCAACCTGTTTGCTCATCTGGGTGCTGAGGGGAGTCCAGGAGCACTCGGCCCTGCTGTTGCTGGCCTCGGGGCAGTCAGGAGTGGGCAGCTTGAGGCCGTCTCCTGGGCTGCTCAGTGGCACCAGGAGGCCCTCAGCTTCTGCTGCGTTCCCAGCATAGTCCATTTTTGGCTGGGGATCATCAGGCTGGTCTTCTGACTTGTGCCCAAGTTTCTCTGTCGAACTGCCATCTGGGTCTGCCCCCCGGGCATTGCTGCCACTTCCAACTGCTGTGAGCTCCACCTGCAATGACAGAACAGTATGACAATCTCGCCGAGTTCCCTGGGGCTGGCGCAAGTGTCCTGAGGCCCCGGAGAGGCAACTGCTAGTCCTTTCTGCAACTCAACCAACTAAGTCTTGGTAGAAGCAAAGGGCAGTGGCCAATTCCTGTCCCACCTACAGCAAATCCCAGGAAATACCCCATTGCTTCCTGGCCCCCTTGTCGGGATGGCAGGCTGGGCACATCTTCCAAGCAGCTCAACCGTACCCTTTGGTGGGCTGTATGCAGCACCATACAGCCCCTTACCTTGGAAAAACTGCTGCCGACACAAAACTCCTGAGACCCAAAGTGCTGGCAGTCACCTGTCGTGGACTCCTCATCAGAAAGAGGTGCTCTTCTGGCATGGAGACAGAACCAGAGGAGGGACATGAGATCAATCTTGGAGCCACCATGGCCCCTGCTTACCCTGGTTTTCAGTAAACCTTGTCTCACTTTCTGTGGTGGTTTGGGGGGATCACAAGATACTGGGGGGGGGGGCGGTCCAGACCTCCACACACAGCTTTGCAAGTTTCTGTAAAGTAGCCAAGTCTGACCATACTCCCCTCTTTGGGCTGCTTGTCCTGTTTTCTAAGGATCTTGCCAAGCGTGTGGAGGACCCCAGTACCTTCACCTTTTTCCCAGAACTTACTCATCAAGGTGACTATCCAGGATGTACAGAACATTGCCCTAAGGGGAGCAAGATGTGAACCACCTCGGGTCTCAGAAGGCATATAAACCATTTTCCTTTTACATAGAATCTTATTTAAAGTCTATAAGGAAAAAAAAAAAAGTCTATAAGGGAAGTAGACTGAAGGCACCGTGTGGGTGGGTAATCCTTTTCTGAAACAAGTCACCATCCCCATCGTGCTTTCAGGTCTAGTCTAAATCAAAATCATCACCTCTCCCCTTGATGAGCCTGCCTAGGGCCAATACCCCTTTACTAACACAAGCAAAAATACTAACTCGGGGCCACCAGGTCACTGGGCACCGAGAGGCACAATAAGGACATTTCCCTTTCTTTTACAGTTCTGCCTGGCTCCACTCTTCTTTCCTCACCTACCCCTACCTCATCGGTTCCCCACCCTCCTTCTGGCCTCTCAGCACCCACATATTCTCTCATCCCCAAGGGAGGCCCTCAGGCCAGACACCCAGTTCAGGTCAGCATAGCCCAGAGGCCAAACAAAGCTGGGTTCCAAAGAGGGAAACTCAGCTCTCCCATCACTGCTCAGTCTTCTACATAACTTGGGTAAAAATCAGAAAAATGGCACGTGTTCAACCCCCCAAAATGGTGCAGACTGTGAAGGTGAAGTTGAAGAGAAGACAAATACCCACTCAAAATTCAGTGGCTTTTGTGCAGTACTAGGGAATAAACACAGGGCACTGCACATGCTACCCATGTGTTCCACCCCAGAGCCACATCCCAGCCCCTTTTGTTTTGCTAATTAATTAACAGTACTACAGATTGAACTCAGGGCTTCCCATTGAGTTACATCCCCAGTATCTCCTTTATTGTGAGACAGGGTTTCCCTAAGTTGCTCAGGAGGGGCTTAAACTTGACATCTTCCTGACTCAGCCTCCCAGAGCACTGTGGTTACAGGTGTGTGCTAACATAGCTGCTTAAAAGTTTGATATTTTAAGAATACCAAGAACAAGCCAGGCGGGCGTGGTGGCACATTGTAATCTCAGCACTCGGAGGCTGAGGCAAGAGGATTGCTGTGAGTTTGAGGCCAGACTGAACTACATAGTGAGTTCAAGGCCAGCCTGAACCACATAGCGAGATCCTGTCTCAAAAAAAAAAAAAAAGAAAAATAGCAAGAACATACTATGCCTGCCCTAGAGAGGAGGCCAGCAGGGCACATGCCTGGGTGGGAGGGGCCGAGGAGGCCACTTGGGTCAAAGAATAAACCCCCAACATGAAAGCTGTGCAAAGCCCAGGACTGCTCTGTGAGCCCTTGGGGAGATGTACTTCGCTGGGTGTGCCCATCTTAGGCACCTCACCAGGCTCTAAGACAGCCCCTGAAGATGCCACCCCCCTACCCCAGCCACCCTATCGAAAGGGAAGACAAGGTGTGCCAATATGAAGGAGGAGGGCCCTGCTAAGAACTCCCTCCCTCCCACTGACACAGGGGCTCCCAAATTGTACCTGGGGCAAGAGAAGCAAAAAAGACAAGGGGGATCATCGCGGGCCTCTCCCCATCTTTTCAGGGATCCAGAAGGGGCTAATGGAGGGGAAAGGCTTGTCCCCTTTAAAAGGCAGCTAGGCTGGCAGAAGTGGGAGGGTTCCACTGCTGGAAGTGACTGTTGGTGACAAACAGAAATGACTGTAAGGGAGGGCTTTCGAGAGATAGTGGGGGGGGGGGTCTTGGGGAAAAGGAGGAAGGGATGGCCTGGGGGAAAGGGAAAACATACTTTCATATCAACTCCTGAGAGACCAGAAAAGCAGGACCTCCACCCAGCCTTGGGCCAGGGGGAAGCATGTTCCGACTAGACTTCCCAGGGACGGTTCTGGAGCAGGATGGTGGTGGTATGAGGGGAAACAAGCAGCAGCCCCCCTCACCACCCCTCTCAGAAAGGTGCTATTTATTTACATTCTTTCCCTTCCTGATCATACAAAAGGGAACAAGCTGCATGCTCACTCCCCCTTGCTGGGCTCCCACCCTGCCTGAAATCACACTTGACAACAGAAACCCTGCTCTTGCAAGCAAGCAGCCACCAGAGAACCACAGTGCCAGGCTGACAGAGTCTGGTGGTCGCAGCAGGAGCAGCAGTCCTGGCTACTCCAGCCATACCCATATCCATACCATGCCCGAGGCTGGGGAAAATGTCATGCAGCCACTGTTCAAACTCATTGAGCAGAGGGAGATACAGAAGCCAGCAAATGTTTAAATTGCTCTATTGAGAAAAGAGCCTGGGACAGAATGGCTTGCAGGGGAGTGGGACCTGGGGACAGCGGGTCCACTGGGCAGTTATGAGGGTCCAAGTGAGGATGGAGGCTCCAGGAGTCAAAGCAGGCTCCATTCAGGACTGAAAACCAGTTCCGCTCTCCTCGCCAGAGCCAGAGGACACTGGGCTGGGACGCTCAAGGTTTTGTTGAATTTAAACTAGAAGCAGCCACAACGTCTTGGGGTCATCTGGCTAATTATCATGGGCCAGCACCACTGTCAAATTGGACCTTTTTCACTTCCTGTTGGGCCTGTGCTCCTTGTAAGGGAAATATGCAGCCCAGCATGCACAAGGCTCCTACCTCCCAGCCTCTGCAGGCTCTCCCTGCCTGGAGCTCCACCGTCCCTCAAAGACCCCTTCACTTGAGCGGCCTTCCCCATACCCACCATCCTCTTCCTGTCCCAGGGAAATACGGAGCTTCGCTTCAAGCTCCAATTCAGCCCTTCTGTAGCCCAGGCTCAGACCACACCAGCTTCACTTATCCCCAGGGAAGCCTGTCATTTTTTTAAACACTAAGACTTGGGAGCAAAAAGTCTGTCATTCTTGCATCTAGACTTCTGTAAGACCTGTCCATGCCACTCTATGGTTCTCACCATCAGTGTATTGTGACATTAGTTTGCACTCATTGTGTTTGAAAAACATTTGTTAAATGAAGTAATGAAGTAATACTAGAAAGGAAGCAAGCAAGCAAATTTAGCTGGAAGTTTGACTGCAGCCAGCCACTCAGGGCCAGCAAAAAGCCCACGACGCCATTCCACTGTCCTCAATTACAGCTGGTAAAGGCAGGCAGGCTTCTTCTACAGCACAACTTTAAGAGTTAACCCCTCGAAGCAAATTTTTGTTTTGTTTTTTGAGACAGGGTCTCACTATATAGTTCAGGCTGACCTTCAACTCACTATGTAGCCCAGGCTGGCCTCGAACTCACGGCGATCCTCCTGCCTCAGCCTCCCGAGTTCTGGGATTACAAGCGTGCGCCACTACGCCTGGCATCGATGCAAGTTAATACTCAAAGTTCCTAAGTTCTAGGAAAGGAAAGGGTGGAAGAAAACGGCTTTTAAATACAGTGAGATTGCATTTTAGAAATCAGCTGTAGCACGGCCTGGACTGTGGCAAGAAGGTGACATTAACGGATGGATGAGATCGGAAATGACAACATTTAAAAGGCCATCCCTAGGGACCAGGGATTTAGCTCAGTGGTTTCGCTGTCTGCCTCGAAAGCAGAAGGACCCAAGTTCGATCCCCGGTATCAAAAAAAAAAAAATTTAAAAGGCCATCCCAACCACCGGGCATATATGGTAATTTAGCACCTCAGGAAAGGTACATAAGGAGGAAAATCCAGATTTTGAGCCCACTTCCTGCTCCTCTCTTGGCAGGAACGTAGAGTGGATGGCGAACCAAGGTAACTTGTCTACTGCTTTTTCGAAGGCTCTGGTCCACATCTCTGCATCAAAGCCTAAATTACTTACAACTAGATCAACATAATCTGCCAGTTAATATTCACACTAACCAACCCCAGCACCTTGGCTTGCCATAATCATCTAAGGACATACCTCATATGCAAGGGAAATACATTTCTTCTGCCTCTCAGAAAAATTCTGTCTTTTACTTGGTCTTGACTTTTAGATTCTAAAATTAAATTCCTTTTAAGTCCATTTCTAACTTGTTCCTTAGTACAGAGAACATTAAGCTATCAGAAGCTAATGGCTTCAGAAAATAAAAAGGTCTATTCTCCTAACCTTAACCTCAGACAAGTACACACTTGTGCAATTGGGAACAGAAAGAAAAAGTACATTAAAAACATGTAGCTGAGGGTAGTGCTAAGTGGTAAAATGGGCGCTTAGCATTTGCAAGGCCTTTGGTTCGATCCCCAGCATCACAAAAGAAAAAAGTAGACTAAAAACAAAGACATTCATTCCTTTCCCCTTCTAAATTAGCAATATACCCTCCTCCCTGATACACAAATGCTTCTTGGATTTACCTAATAAATAGTACATCTTTTTTCTCTCTCTTTTGAGACAGAGTCTCACTGTGTATTCCAGGCTGACCTTGAACTTACTAGGTAGTCCAACCTGGCCTCCAGCTCAGTGATCCTCCTGCTTCAGCCTCCTGGGTGCTAGGATTACAGGCCTGTGCCACCATGCCCAGCTAGATCTTGGATCCCTGGAAAAGTCCTATCGTTCAGCTTTCACACATAGCCAAAGCTAAGAAAGTCAAATACCGTATAAAATTCAGGTGCGGGGCCGGCGATTTAGCTCAGTGGTTCTGCCGCCTGCCTCGAAAGCGCAAGGACCTGGGTTCAATCCCCGGCATCAAAAAATAAATAAATAAACAAACAAATAAATAAATAAAAAATTCAGATGCCCTTAGTATGTGGCATGATCAAGAAATGGCCTACCTTGGTCAACCAAATATTTTGATGGACAAAACCTGAAAACACACAGATCAGGCAGGCATCACCAACTCTCAATTCTGTATCAAAACTACGTTCAGCAGTCTCATCTTCCTCTGATGCTTCCCAATGATACCGAATTGCTGTTAGCCTTGAGGGGCGGGGAAGCACCGGCCACCTGAATGAATGCCCACTGGTAGTCTCCAATACAAAGCTACATGATGAAACCACCTTCCATCCAGGCCTAGGCCAAGGACCACAAATTATCTTACACATATCCTTGAGCACCAAACTTTGCTGTAGAAAATAAAAACTGCAATTGCCTGAGCTTCGCCTTACTCTACAATCTGACAGTTCCTAAGGAGTAGACAAATGCTAACTGGCAAAGGTCACCTGCTAGCCTCTTTTGCCTTCATCTGAACAGGGAAAGCATGGCAGGGCAGGTCAGTCCCACAGCCCCAGCCCCGTCTCATCTCAAGAAAATGAGAAACAACCAAGAGCCTCTTTCCCAGGCCCTGGGGCATGTGGCTACCCGCTGTGACCAGCTATAGCTACTTGAAGGCTAGCAGTAGCCACCTTCAAAGTCTTCTCACCTTTCTTCGTTGATGCCACACATGCGAATCCGGTCAGAACTGGTCCAGTTGTGCACGCCGCTGTAGAGCGGTGCTGTAGAGATCATGACAGCCACTCACCACCAAATAGGACCTGCTGTGGCCACTCCCCCTGGGGAAAAAGAATCCCATAAAGGCAAAACTCAGAATGGGGACAGCTGATTTCACAGAGTTGTGTGTGTGTGTGTGTGTGTGTGCGCGCGTGCGCGAGTGTGTGTGTGTGTGTCACTGGGAAATTAAACCAAAGGTGTTCACACAGAGCTATACCACTGGCCCCCTTTTTATTTTTTATTTTGAGGCAAGATTTTGATAAGCCACTAAGTTGCCCAGGCTGGGCTCTAACATGTGATCCTTCTGCCTCAGCTTCCCAGAGTGCTGGAATTACAGATGTGAGCCACCACACCCAGCTTCACAGAAATGTTTAGACAAAAGTAATTAGAGCATCAAAATGTTAAACTAGTCTCTCTCACAAGCCAGCCTACTAAAGAAAATATAGGTCCAAATAGGGACAAGAATGCACCAGTTCTCTAGGAATCTATCCATTTCAGGATGGCATAAAAAGACACTGTTAATCACCTAGAACAGTGATGGTGAAACTTTTAGAGCTTTCAGTGATAACAAACAGTCAGCTGCGGCATGAGTGCCATAGGTTGACCACCACTGGCCTACAGTTATTCTTAAATTTTCTTCCAAGACATACTGTATATGCATGAGTGTTTGAGGAAATTCAATCTACTGCAAACAAATGAGATGACAGTATATTTTTCTGCACATGTTTGGCCTAAGCAACTAGAATTAGAAGGTCACACCCACATGAGTACTGAGTGCATGGAAAGACAATTGGGGGTCCTTTTTTCTTCTGCTCTCAGAGTACTGAAGGACTTGATTGACACAGCCAATTTAAGCTCTCCAGAGGAAGCAGACACTTTCTTTAAAGGCCTTCAAAAGTACTCTATTCTGCCTCCAAGTCTGGACACAATGCATCCATCTAATGTGGTAGAAAGCTCCCTTCAAATCAGGTGAAGGCTCCTTGTATTCTGACCCTAAGCAAGCAAATAACAAACAAGGTTCTATCAAGAACCTTCTGTCTTGTCCCTTCCTACCAGCCTGCTATCCTATGACCTACCACCCCCTGCACCAGCCAATGTCTCGCTCTCGCTGCTGACAGCCACTGCAAAGGCAATTAGCTTTCTAGAGAAAAAAGGGTGTCACAAAAACAGCTTTATTCAGTGAGCCTGTCTTGAGACCCTGAAACTCTTTGAGTTTTGAGTTTTTACTAGCTAAACCCTTATTTATCAAAGCTCAAATGAACAGAACCCTACAGTGATCAGAATTTTCTGCTGTTTTCCAACTTTCCAAAGAGGCAGACCATGGTAAAAGTCACATCCAGGTCTTACTCCGTTTACCCTTTTTTCAATTTTCAGAGACGGTTCTTACTCAACTTAATTCACTTATTCAACAAATATCTACTAAGCTCCTCCATGTGCCAGAACTGTCCTGGGTCCTGGGTCCTGGGTACTGGGTCCTAGGTACTGGGACTCGACAATTAACAAAACAGACCAAAATCATGCCTGCAGAGTGCTTACATTCTAGAAAGATGAGATGAAAATAAGTATGTTAAACCATTCTATGTCACAGCAATTTAGAAGAGCTACAGCACAGGCTCAGGGGGATGGGGACAGCACAGGGTGTGTGTGAGTGAATGCGTTGATTTGAAATAAGGTGGTCATGGTAGGCCTTGCTGAGAAGGAAACATTTCAACAACCTAAAGGAGGTGAAGGAGCAAGCAATGTAGGTATCTAGGGGAAGAGCATTCCAGGGAGAGCAAAGATCCTAAGGCAGGAGGCTGCCTGCTAAGACCAAGGAAAAGCCAGGAGGCCCATGTGGCTGGACCTGAGGGAGGGAGGTGCTAGGGAAAAAGGATAGCAGAGATGCAGCCACCCACTCCCTTCATGGGCCTCATACTACTCCCATCTCTGTGCCAGCCGAGGGACATCGCTGCCCTCACCTTTTCTTTGTACGTCTCCTCTCTTCGTTTTCCTAGCCCAAGGCTGGCTGGCCCCTCTGAGACCCATCTTTCCCAATACCTACCCTAGAAACCTGGGCATTCGTTAAGGTCTTGAGCCCTGGCTCTTCATCTCTCCTTGCCTCTGCCACCTTCTCCCATTTCTTTCCCTCCCCATTTATCTTCCCCTGTTCACTCTATTCCTCATCCTAGCTTCTCTCCCACATCCTTCCCCTATTATTCTCCCAGCTGTCTCTCTCCCTCATTTCTCTCTATGGGTACAATCCTTTCTCCTCCAACTTTTTCTTTCATCCAACTTTTCTTTCCAGTCTCTCCCTCATCTCACCTTTCCCATTTTCCTGGGTCTCCAATGAGTTTCTCCTCCTCCTTCCCTTTCTCCCTCCTTGGTTGCCCCCCTCCACTCTGGTCCCCCACCCTTGCATTCAGTCTCCCTCTCTAGTCTCTCTCTCCATCCTCTTCCTCCTTCGGCCTTCCTGGCTCTTCCCCATGCCTCTCTCCCTGTGTGTATACTGTATTTCAGCCTAGGCCCTCCTTCTCTTTCATCTATGAGCTCTCAGAGTTTCAACTCACCCTTGAGTATACAGATGACTTCCAGGTCTGTATCTCTAGCCCTGACCTCTTTCCTTAGGCCCATATCAGAATTCTCAGCTTCCAGCAACATGCTGTTAATTGGATGTCCACAGAGCCCCTCAAACCCCCCAACAGGCCTCAAACCATTATCTGTTCCCATAAACCTCTCCCTACCCCCAACTCCACACCCAGCACATTTCCTATCTTAGTTAATATCATAACTATCCCCTAGCCTGGAAATTTCTTTAACTCCTCTCCCCCACGGCCCAGGTCCAATCAGGAGTCAAGCCCTGATAAGGCCATCTTCCTTCTCTCCTTCTCCCCTCTTGCCACTAGTCTGGTGCAGGCCCTCATCGTCTCTCACCAGGAACATCATGCTGGCCTCTTAACAGCTCCTTCGGCCTCCCATCTCTTGATTCTACAATGAATTCATCTTCTAAAGCGGCAGTTCGATCAGGCCTCCCCCTCCCTTGTCTTCCTCATCAAAAGCCATCAGAATCAAGCCCAAATTCTTAGCACAGCCTTCAGGGCCCTCAGGGCCCTCAGGAGCCTCAGGAGCTTCAGGAGCCTCAAACCTCCTCTCCAGGCTCCTCTTCTGTCACATCCTACCATCTCCCTACCATGCTAGCTCCTGACCTGGCCCTACATAAATCATCTAGTTTCAGGACTATGCTGCTTCCTCACTCTGAAATGGCCTCTACCCCTGTCCCTTCTTCTTCTATCATCCCCAAGGCCTAGTTTAATGCCACTGTCTCACTACCCCCCACAAAGCCCCAGCCCCTGATGAGTTAACCCCTCCTTCTTAGATTCTCCTCAAACATTTTAATTCCTACCTCAGCCCAGCCTGATTCTCCTCTTCAGTGTGGTTACCTGGAGGTGTGGCATGTCTGTCTGCCCCACCAGACAACCAACTACTTGTGGTAAGAAATAATTGTTCTTTGTCTCTGGATCCTCAGGAATACCTTACACATAGAAAGTACTCAGAAAACGGATGTTATTCAGAACTGAATTCTAGAAGAGCATTGAGATGACGACCCTGAGAAATCACAGGAAGCAAAATCAACCCCCCAAAAAGGCCACCATGCTTGCTTACTATAGAAAAATTATGCATTACGTAAAGCACACCTTCCCAGGCTGCCTGATTCTACTCCAGCATCTTTGAGCTCCCCCCCCCCCCCCGTAAAGGGCAGGTAACTAATGGCTATGGAAACTCAGTCTTATCCCATAGTTTGGATTGACTTCCCTCCCTACTGTGGAAAAAAATCAGTTTTGCCTCCATTTGCAATTCAATTCCTTTACTCCATATAAATTTGTGCTTTTTGACTTTTTCTTTGAACTCCTTATAACATCTGTCTGGTTCACATGTTGATTAATGAGTAAAATAAAATCTCTAACATGTGTTCGTTTTTATATCTGTACAAGAGTCACGATTTTTTACCTTTTCTAAAAATAATCCCTTAACATTACTAAGACAGCACGCCCTACCGAGGTCCCCAGTCCCCCGGAATATGCCGAATCAGCCCGCTGCAGACAGGCAGGTCTGCCCATGCCCTACCAAGGTCCCGAGTCCCACGGAAGACTCTGAATCAGCCTGCTGCAGACAGGCAGGTCTGTGCACGCCCTACCGAGGTTACGAGTCACACGGAAGATGCCGAATCACCCCGCTGCAGACAGGCAGCCACCTGGTTCCACACTACAAAGACACAGAGCACATCAGACTACCAGACCAAGGTACGGTATCCTGCTGCTCCCGGCCCAGAGGGAGGGGCTTTTGAGCCGCTGTCCCACTGCTCCTGGTCGAGAGGAAGGGGCTTCCTGGCCACCATCCCTCCCACTGCTCCCAGCCCACAGGAAAGGGCTTTTGGGTCACCATCCCTACTGCTGCTCCCAGCCACTGTCCCACCTCACCCAGCTCAAAGGAGGTAATCCACGCAGGCGTTAACAGCCCCCCACCCCAGTCGAAATGAGAAAACACATAAATAAGTCTCAAAACCACACTTCCAGATCACCTACAGCAACCCCAAAGGGAAATGAGATGGAACACTCTGATAC